ATTCGATCAATGTTAAAGGGATTATTTTGTTCTTTTACATGTGGTCACATGGTGTGCCCCGCACACAAAGCGAGCTGTAACTTATTTTAGATTTTTTTTTTGTTTTTAGTTACATTATTTTAATACTTGTATTTATTTATATATATATGTGGATTAATATAGCATAGTTATTTCTAACTAAATGACAATATATGTGATTTTCATTCAATAAGGTTTTTCGTTCAAATCTCTTTGTATGCATTTTTAGTTCTTGGTCTCATGGATAAAGATTATTGAATGATGAAGTGGCAGATGGTAAAAGCTATTAAATGATTGGCGAGATATTAGTGTAAGAAGAGGTACAAGTGGCAAATAAACATTTTAGGAACAACTTTTAATATATATATTAGGTAGTAATGTAGTATAGATACTATGTGCAAAATATGTATTATATGAAACATTTGTAAAATATTTTAATTGAGTGTATATATATATTGGAAAATATGATTGCTAAAAAATATAAATACTATAGGTCATAAAATAAATTTCATGAAGATTTTTGCCTGAAAAAAATAATAATAATAAGGCGGGAAATTTTTTACCACAAAATACATGTCATCCTTTAGTATAGGTTTATTAATAAACTTATTATTATGATAATGTAATCTTTATTATGCACAATAATTGTCATGTTGGGTTAGAGAGTTAAAGGTGTAAAAAAATAATCCGATCAACATTATCAAAATTAGCTCGTAAAAGCCTGATCAAAATTTCGAGTTGTACGTACATAATAATATGTGTGACTAAAAAATTGAATGTATTGTAGTCGCGGTCAATCATCCAAAAAAGTAATGGGTAAAATTAGGTTTTTTTTTTTTTTTTTTTTTTTTTTTTTTTTTTTTTTTTGTAAGAAGTAAATAGAATTCTCATTACCGCTTTCACTGCACGTCTTCATGCTAAGCATTGCTTTTTAAATCTTGATTTTCTGCTCTTCGAAATACCCAGTTCTCCAACAATGGAGGAATAAATTCTACTCTAATCATCAGCCATTTTTAGGTAAATATTTTTTTTCCTCACTTGTTTATGTAATATGTTTCATTTCATGTACTAAAGTTTCATTATTTGAAACTGAATTGAACTGATTTTTTTTTGAGAGAATGAAATTAAGAACTAAATTGAACTGAACTAAACTGAACTGAATTGAAATTAAGTTGAAGAGAACAACCCCTAAGTACAAGAGTAACTAAAAAAGAAAAGAAAACAAAAAAGAAAATAATTACAAACAAAAACTTAATCACAAGCTTCTTAAGAAAGCTACACTAAAAGCTTCCCTAGGAAGCTAAATTAAAGTAGAAAAAAATATATATAAAAAAAAAAAAAAAAAAACCAGAAGCAAGCGGCCGTCAAACAAAAATGGAGGCCAAGAATTAAAGTCACAGGCCGGAGGCAATGTAGCTTGACCAAACAGAGGTGGTTAAGGCAGTGGAGCCCCACAACAATCGAATGCCGCAGATCGAAAGAGACATGCACGAGGCAGCGACTAGCCGATCAAACGAAGCGGTAGAGGCGATGGGAAGACTGAGAATCAAAACAGAGGGGGCAAAAGGGCCAACATGCATGATAAAAAAACAAGATCTAAAAATCTTGTTGGAGGCAACGCTGTGACGATGATGGCGGAGCAAGGAGTACTTGTTTTAATTCAAAGAAAAATTAGACCAAAAGGAGAGAGCATGAGAGAAAGGAGAAGCAAAAAGAGAACATAGGAAAGAAGAAAACTTGAAAAGATGAACAAAAAAGAGAAGAAACAGAGGAGATGATGCTAGAGAGAAGGGCGGAACCTTGTGATGCTTTACTTTGTTCACTTTTAGTTACAACGCACGTATGGTTGCTGTTTCGGGGTTTTTTATGTGTCCTACGGGAGAGTTACAATTTCCTAGTATGCTCCTTTCTTTGCCTGTACCTGCACAAGTAACGGAAAACTCCGGCTGGGGCTGGGGTGTTCCGCCTCCGAAGATTAAGTTAGTATCTTTCTTAATGAGGAAATAAGATAATAAATGCTTCTCGATTTGAGAGCGTTTGCAAGGGGATTTGTGTTTGGTTGGTGGTTGGAAAATGATTCGATCCCCATAGATGAGGTCTGCCCTTACTATTTATAGTAGGGGAGAGTTGTACCTCAATTCAGGGTACAATGACACGTGTCGCAAAGGGATTGGACCTTTGCTGACTGTTGCAAACTTGACACGTGGCAAGCCTTTATAGGGCCACGTGTCTTAGGGGTATTTTTACCCTAAACAGTTGCACTTGTTAATACATAATTAGAGATACAAAATGATATCATGAATATACATTGAAACAAAGTTAAAAAATACTACCTCTGATTCTTGTTAGTCGAAACAAAGAGAAGTTTTGCGGACTTCTAGGCAAAAGATCTTATGTGTAGTTAGTGAAAAATAAGGGCATATACTTAAGTATTAATCAAACAAAAAAAAACAATTTCAACTATAATTAAAAACATAACCCACCACCACTAGCACCACCCAGCACATCGAAACCACCAACCACCACCACCCAGCAACACGGAAACCACCAACCGACAAAACCTAGCACCGACCTCTGACAAAACCAAGCACCAACCCCCGACACAACCCCGCACCAACCCCCGACACAACCCCGCACCAACCGACCGACATCACCCACCATCACTGACACAACCCAGCACCAACCAACCACTGACACAACCCAACAACAACCTACGATCTGAACCACCCACGATCTCCGACACAACCCAGCACCAACCACCAACACAACCCAACAACAACCCACGATCTGAACCATCCATGACCTGTAACCTACCCAGCAACGTCGATCTGAAATCACCCACGATCGACGATCTGAAACCAGAAACGACGATTTGAACATGCTCGACAATCTGAAACCACACCGACGATCTGAAACACCGACGAACCCGCCGCTTTAATCCCACGAAGCCACCATGAGAATGGGGTTGGAGGAGGAGAGAGAAAATTATGGGAATGAGGGTACAACTAATTAAGCTTGGGGTTTATTCTAATGAAATCAGATTTGTAATTTAATAAGGTTGTTTAAAAAAAAAGTAAGGGTATATTGATCATTTACACCCAAAATCTTACTAAAAAAGGAAAAGAAATAAAATTATTGCAAGTAATGTGAAACATCCGTTTTTGATAATTGTTGCAAGTAACAAGAACCGGAGGTAGTACAACAAATATATTTTGTGAGTGTCAAATTTCACAACCTCAAATCAACAAATTTTAAAACATTATTTATAAACAATTTCACAACTACAATCAACAAAATTACAACTTAACTTAACAATTTTACAATTTCAAGTCTTCAATCAACCATATAACAACTTCAAATAATAATTTACAACTTCAAAATAATTAAATCCCAGAAACAATAAATAAGGGCACCGTTGGTTTTTTTGTTTTGGAATGTCGGTTTTTTATTTTTTGGAAAGTTGGAAACTAGTGTGTGATCCGGACTTGTATCGGTTGAATTTGCTATTTTTATTAAACCTTATAATTATGAATACTTAATAATTATACTCGTAGTTTTTTTTATTTAAACCTTATGATTTGTAATTATATACTTTTATTTCATTTTAATAACATGTTTTATAATTGGCTTAAATGATTTTAAACAAATAGGTGATATGGTTTTATTCTAATCCTCGCGTCTCAAATTTCTGACCTATTGCTAAAAATTGGTTCAACTTCTTACAATTAGTCCTACTAGGAGATTGTTTATTTATATTTATACTTATCTAGATTAGATTGTTTATTTATATTTATACTTATCTTTGTTTTTAAAAAAACAAAATCTATATCTATATCTATATTTAATAGGGAAAATTGTCTAGAACTACCCGTAAGATAGGGTCATTTGTGAACAACTACCCATTTTTTTTATTTGTTTACAAACTACCCGCATGTTTGAAAAAGTTTAGATAGCACTACCCATTAACGTTTTCCATCCAAAAAACCGTTAGTGGGCCCCACATTGTACACGTGTCATTTTTTTATTGGATAAAAAAAAAATCAGAAATCCAACCCAACCCCACCCTCCTTCCCTGACCACCCCATCCCCACTGCCCACCGGCCACCGGAACCCAGCAACCCCATTCCCCTCTCCATTGGAAAACCCACAGCCCACAACACCAAACAACCACCATCACCACCAGCCTAAACTCTAATCACCACCAATTTTTGTGAAGAACCCTAAAAAATTGAATTGGAGTTTTTTGTTTGGTGAAGCAATTCACAAAATTGTTTGCTCTAATTGATTGTATGTTGAATTGTGAACATTTTGGTACAAGTTTAATAAAATTTGGTGAAGAACTGATGTTCCTCAAGCTTTCATGCATAAGCTTCAATGGAGCTTCAATGGCGTTTTTGTGCGTTTGGGAAGAGGAGGGGAAAGGGAGGGGGGCCGACATCGGCGGAGAAATGGCGGCGAGAAAGAAGGGGGGGTGGGGTTTCGGGGTGGTGGCGGCTGGTGGCTGGGTTCCGGGACCATATTAGGGTTTTGGGGTGTTTTTCAGTGGCTGTTCGATGTGGCTGGGGTGTTTCAAGGATGGGTTAGGTGGGTTTTTCGGTGGCTGGGGGTGCCGACGGTGGGGCTGGGTTGGGTTTTGGGGCTGCTAGCGGCAGTTCATGGTTGCCGGTAGTGGGGTTGGGTTAGGGTTTAGGTTTTTTTATTTTATTTTATTTATTTATTTTTATCCAATAAAAAAATGATTCGTGTACAATGTGTTTTTTGGATGGAAAACGTTAATGGGTAGTGCTACTCAAATTTTTTCAAACTTGCGGGTAGTTGTAAACAAATAAAAAAAATGGGTAATTGTTCACAAATGGGTCTATCTTCCGGGGAGTTCTAGACAATTTTTCCTATTTAATATTTAAAAACACAAATCATCATACCTATCATATACTTTGAAGAGTGTCACGTATAACCAATTACAATCAATAACTAAGTGAATTTTTGCATAATTTGTGTATCAACCATGGATTATTAAACAATGAAGCTTGTTTAATTGCCAAGTTTTAGTGTTACCAGTCCTCTACACTAAAAAAATTGCACGATACATCCATGATCCATTGACACAATATCAATACAATTACGATCGCAGTCGCAGCAGTTTCTTCTTCAATGAATTGAAATTCTCCAGTATCTTCAACCATTTTCAAATCTCACACTCATTCTCTCTCCTCTAAAAATGGCGCAAAATCCATCATCAACCAAACCAGGCCTTCTGGAATTGGTCCCTCTCTTTGTCGTCCTTCTCATCGCTGCTCATGTCATAGCTTTGGTACCACCAATCGCACTCTTCTTCTTCATCTTCTTCGTTTAAATTTTCTCTCTCTTACTTTTGTTGATATTTCTGTTTTAGGTGTACTGGATTTTCAGAGTTGCAACTGAGAAGCAGCAACAATTTCCTGGAAGATCCAAAAAACACTGATTTTGCCTCCTTCTGCATTGTATGTTCCGCCGCTAACCCTAATTTTTAGTTTAATTTTGTTTGATATTTGTTGATTATTGAAGATTTCTTGTGTACTGTGTGTGTTAGTGTGTGATTGCTGTGATTTTGTTTTTGTTTCTTTGAGCTGTACTGGAATTTGTTAAATTGGTTCAATTTGTTTGATGTCTGTGACAAAATGCGCGTCGAATTCATATGTTTCGTCAATGATGTGATAGAGTGATTTTGTTGAATTAAAACAAAGTTTGAAGATTACTTAAATTTTATGAGATATGCTGCTTTTGTGCCTAGACTTTGATTTATGGCACAATTATAATTAGTTATTGATGCGTAGTGAGATAATGAGACTATTGGCTCGGTTGGCTTTAACTTGAACGTGGAATGGTGCTCCCTCTTTCTCATTGCCATTAGTAATAAGAAAACAGGAAACTTTGATTAGTTAGCCACTTTGTCCGGTAGAATCATGGTGTTGACCTGCTCATCCTAGTACAGATTATTTCATTAGTTGTTCTATAAAGCTTGAGATTTGCTTTATGCCGATATTTGGGATCAGTCAACACTATTTTCACAGTGCTAGTGTGTTCTGATAGAGACCCACACTTGTCTTTTTCTAGGATCCATTGGTGATTTTTCTTTGTATTCAGTAATGAAATATTACCTAAAAGAGAATTTGAGTTTATTTCTTTCATCCACGTATGTCCTCATGTAACTTAAATTCTAGTTTCTGAACCTTTTATGGCTGCTATTCTGAGGTTTGATGGTCAAAAAGCTTATTTCAGTATACTTCTCTACCAATATCTGCTTAATAAGTGGTAAAGGAATAGTGGAATTTTGGGTTAGATTGCTCCTCAGTTAGATGAGTGGATAGGTTTCATGAAGGTTTTAAGAGCTTTATCGGGTGCTAAGGTTGAAAGTTGGTGCCTTTGTGGAGTTTCACAAGGATGTATGCTTAGCAATTGATAGCAACTCCTTAATAACCTCATGGCTCAGGCATGCAAAATCACTTTTTGCAAACACATATTATATATTCTTGATAATAGCATGGTTTAGAAGGTGTACTTGCCCACCCTATCGACCATACATGATGGAGATGACTCTGATGAGGCTTTGAGTCAGCATTTTGATTGTAATGAGCTAATGAATATGAGTCAATGACAGTGTCCAACTGTCCAGTATATGGTTAATAGAATAGTAGTAAGTACTGTCTGTGTTTCTTTTGGAATGCTGTCTGATCAGCATAACCCAAATTGGTCTGATTTCCATTCCATCTCAGCCTGTTGCCGGACAGTAATTTAAACCCACTGGGCTTACCCACAGTCTCTTGATGGCTTTTCTATATGGAAAATGGCAAGCAGCAGGTTAATGATGATTTTTGTCGATATTGTTCTGTGAGATAACCTTTTAACTACCTCAGATTATTCCTTATCCCTGCCTTTTTGTTCCTCAGTAAAAGGGGGATTTAAAACTGTGCATGACATAGAATTTATAGTGATTTGCAAATGGCATAGGCAACTTGGCAGACTTGGACTTAGTTTCCTCCAAGGATTGTACAATCTAAATCCGGAGGGTAATGTTGGTCATCCATTATGATTTTGTCAAGGACAAAATCATTGACAATAGGCGGTTACTAAATTCAACGGCTCAGGAACGAAGCTGTTTGGAGCTTTTCTTTCTGTCAAGGCATCCCCTCTTTGTGTTTGTTAACCTAATGAAATTTCTGTTCCAGATTGTATTCACAAAGTGTTCTGCAAATCTATAATTGGAGGCAGATATGATCTGGCTTTTTAAATACCGAACTTAACAAGATAAGGCCAAGGATCTTTGTGATGGTTATCTTTTTTCAGTTTTCTTACCCAACTTCTCAGGGTAAAGACTCCTAACTTTAACTATGAAGTTAATTTTCATTTGGACAAATGAGGTAATTCTTTATGCAATAACTAAGAAAGTAATACAAAATATAAATATATACTTTGGAATTTGGATCTCTTTCTACTTTTTCATGCCGTAGATACGCTTATCATACTGATCTTATGAACTGTTGACAAGAAATTGTTTTGGTAGGGAGTCTATAATCATGGTGGAAATATCTCAGTAATGTGCGAACTGTATGTCTGTATGTCAGCTTGTGGTGTTGCCTTGTGGTTTTGAACCTCAATTGAAAGTTGGTATAATATTAGCATGAAATAGAGATTATTTTGGAGAGCTTGAATTTATTAGTAGACTTACAGAGCTGTTGTAGCTGACAAAATATCTGATATGTACTTCCTTATAATTTGATAAGGGTCATACAGATTAATTTATACTGATTCATTGACATTTCGCCCTCGTGGATATAGAAACTTACATGAATTTCAGATGGTACGTGTTGACTATTAGGGGTGAAAGTTCGGTTTTCGGTTTGGTTTTTGGCCCAAACCGAAACCGAACCACCATATTTCGGTTTCTTGATTTTGCAAACCACACCGCACCACTTTCTCTTTGAAACCGAACCGAACCAAACCACCTAAATTTCGGTTTTCTTAAAAAAAACCAAACCGCACCGAATTTTCCTATCAAGCCTCATGAACATCAAATTTTGCAAAAAAACCGAACCGAACCAAACCAATTAAAACCGAACCAAACAAAACCAAACCAATCCAGGGTATTAATTATTACCATCCCACCTTATCACCACCAACACCCACCCACCACCCATCACCCTGACCACCTAAAACCCACCCACCACCCACCCTAACCTACCAAAACCACCGAAACTCACCACCCATCCCCCAAAACCACCCGAAACCCACCCGCCATCCACCCTAACCCATCAAAAACCACCCGAAACCCACTCATCATGCATCAACCCGAATCCATCAAAAACCACCCTCCACCCACCAAAAACTAAAGAAACCCACCATCCATCCTGACCACCCGAAACCCACCCAAAACTACCTACCACCACCACAATTCAATCATACACCACCATAAAAATAAAAAACTCAAACCAAATTAAAAGAAAGAAAAAGAGGACATACCTCACATTCCACCGAAAAACCTCGAATTTGGGTTTTAAAGGTCAAATTCGACCATGAAAACACTAGATCTAGTGTTTTCATGGTCGAATTTGACCTTTAAAACCTTTAGAATGTGAACACTGGTGCCCAGGTGGTCGTCCTTGCCTCCTTGGTCGTACTGTCGAAGAGGAGAAGAGAGTGAAAGTGGAGAAGAGATCGAAGAGGAGAGAGAAAGGACAGAGTAGAGAACTAGAGATTGGAGAAGATAAGAAGAGGAAAGGAGAAAGAGAGAACCGAGAGGGAGAAAGCTCACAAATGGAGAAAAGAGAAGAGGATTAGAGGAGAGAGAAAGGGCGGAAAGAGAAGAGGAGAGAGTGAGAGGCTGAGAAGAGTGATTAGGGTTTTTTTTTTTTGCCTTATATAGTATGGGCCGAAATTCGGTTCGGTTTCGGTTTTCATTTCCCGAAACCGAAACCGAACCATACAATTTCGGTTTCTTGATTTTACAAACCGAAACCGAACCACTTAAGAAAAAAACCGAACCATATTCCTAATTCGGTTCGGTTTTCGGTTCGGTTTGGTTTTAAACCAAATTTGTTTCACCCCTATTGACTATTTATGAATCCCTTTTTGAGAATATTTATGTCCTACCTTTTGCTGTTTTAATGTTGATTTGTATTCTCAGCCTTTCTTTGTACGAAGTAGTTGTTTTGATGGCTATTTTGTGTGGAGAATGTAGTACATTTCTCTCATAAACTTGATGGTTATCCTGTGTGCAGCTCTACAACTAAAGGGTTGCTTGCATTAATTTGCACTCAACAGGAAGAACGTGCCACTGATAGAGATAGTGCCAAACTTGAAGTTACCTTCAGAGAATCATTATTTTGTAGGTTATTGCTCGGTAAGGCGAAGTTCCAGAGTGGAAGTGTTGATGTAGCTGATATAATGGATCTGGAAACATGAATGTAAAAATGTACAATCTAACATTTGAGCAAGAATGCGTTTTAATCTAGATATTTTAATTCAAATAGTGTGTATCTCAGTTATTTGTAATCTCGTAAATACAATCTTGTAAACATATTTATTGATTTGTTGTCTACAATTTGGATACTCATTCTTCCGTAGCTGAACTTGTTCAAATTTTAATCCTTTGGACTATCATACTACATCATTTTTCGGATCCTTCCTATATAACGCTATTATTTACCATGCAATAAAAATTGTACTGTTAATATTTTCTTTTTCTTCAATTTTTGATCCTTTAGTTTATGCAATAAGATCATGTATAGTTGTATACATTGGCAAAATATGAGAATAGATTCTTGATATAGTCATATTGATATTGAAATCTACAAGATTATAAATGCAAACGTTAGAAACATTAGCTATTTAAACATAATACTTCGTAGAAGTGTATGACCTATAAAGTAAAATGATACTTCAGATGTTTTGGGTTTATTTGTTTCATCCTTACTTAAGCTATTTAATTTATTAGATAAAATACATTTTATCAAATTATAATAAACTTGAGAAAATACAAGTTTATAACCTTTGTAATTGTTTATCAAGGAACAAAAGCAGTATATCTAGGGATAAAACCATCAACCGTGTTGGTAGTTTTACTCTATTTTACCCCTATATTTGACTATTTTGCCCAAGATAAACGAAATATGTTTATCAATTTAAGGAGATAAATTGAGTCATTCACTATAAATTAAAGGGAAATTCTCAACGGTGACCCCCAACTTCTGCTACACACCGATGGTCACCTCCTTTTTTTTTTTCTTTATTATACAAAATGACCGTAATTAAGAAATTTTTCTCACATATAACATTAATGACTGTTATTTATTTTTTTTTAAAAAAAAACTAACCACGGTTAACTTTGAAAAAAAAACACCAACCCAGCCACCATCTTCACCCTCATCCCCGCCAGATATTTCCAGCACCACCTCCACCCTCACCGGAGCCACCATCTCCCTACCTCCACCTTCAACCCATCATCGCACAACCCCAGCGCGACAACTCCCTTGCACAACAGCCCACAACCGACAAGCAGCCGCTTCCACGAGACAACCACCGTCAGCCGCCGAATAATTCACCCAAAACCGGCCACCCTTACCTTCCAGCCAGCATCTCTCTTTCCGGCGAGACCACCTTGACCACTCCCTGACCGCCGAACCCAAATCACGACCACCCCAGATCGCCGAACTTAGAAACCCGACTACTCCCAGATCGTCAAACCCAAACAACGACCACCCTAGATCGCCGAACTTAAAACCCCGACCACCCCAAGACCGCCGAAGCCAAACACCGACCACCCCAAATCACCAAATTACCTAGAACTGACCACCGATCCTCCTGCTCTCTCTTTCTTCTCCGCCCTTTCCTCCACCCTTTCTCTCTTTATCTTCCGCCTTCTCCGATCCCCGCCCAGAAGCGAAACCTCACGACGAAGCAGCGAAAATCAAATTTCAGAGGAGAGAGAGTTGTGAGGTTAGGGTCGGTTCGGGTGAGAATCGGGCTTGGCGGTGGTCGAGGTGGAGTTGGCGCAGTGTCATCGGCGGTTGGGGGAGTTTGGGTAGTGTTGGCAGCAATCGATGGAACCTAGGGTGGTGCCGCCGGAAGGGAGATGGTGGCTGGTTTTTGGTGGTTGAGGTTAATTTTTTTTAATTTTTTTTTTTTTAAAAAAAAAAAGCTTCTAGCCATAGTTAATATTTAATGAAATTAGGTTATGAGTGAGATGAAATTTTTAACTAAGGTCATTTTGTATAATAAAGAAAAAAGGAGGTGACCATTGCTGCGTAGTAGAAGTTGAGGGTCACCGTTGAGAATTTTTCTAAATTAAACTAATTTTAGATAGGTTAGACCAAATAATTTTGTTGATGCGAGATTTAAAAATGCATTTTTAGTCTTGTCTAAACCCGTAATAAAATAAGTAGAGGTGATCAAAGTTGGCCCGGTCCGTCGGCCCGACCCGAAAAATTATTTTTTTTTTGGCGGGTTTGGGAATGCGTTTTTATGCATTTTTAGTTAAATTTTTTGGCCCGGCCCGAAAATGGTCCGAAAAGCCCGTCCGGCCCGACCACTTTGGGCGGGTTTGGGCACAAATTTTTCGACCCGAAGTTTGGCCCAATGGGAAAATTTTTTTAGCCTCGGCCCGGCCCGCCCAATGATCACCTCTAAAAATAAGGCCCTGTTCTTTAGAGCTGCTCTACTCAAATCTAATCTGCTTAGCTCTGTTTTCAAATAATAATTAATAATAACAATAATAATAATTAATATTTAATAATGATAATAATAATTAATATTGTATTGATGGTAATAATTAATGTGTTTAAAAATACAATAATAATAATAATATAATAATAATGGTTATTATTATTATAATAATAATTAAATGCCATAATAATAGTAATAATTCTTAAAATATAATAATAATAATAATAATAATAATAATAATAATAATATTAATAATAATAATAATATTAATAATAAAAATAAGAATGATAATAATAATAATAATTGTTATATTATTATAATAATAATAAAATACGATAATAATAGAATAATACTTAAAATATAATAATAACAATATTAATAATAATAATAATATAATAATAATAATAACACTAATAATTAATAATAATGTCGAGCTTTCGCTCTGCTGAAATTTAATGCTCTGTTCTGCCCAAAATCTCAAAAGAACGGGGTATAAGTTTGTCCAAACCCGCGTAATTTCTGCCCGGATCGGGCTAGCGGGATGGGTGTATAAACAAAGTCAAATTCTTCCAGGCACACACTTCATGCAAAGAACACAATCTCTCCTAAAATAAAAATGGCGCAACATGAATCATCAGCCAAAGCAGGATTTCTGGAATTAGTCCCATTTTTTGTCGTCCTTCTCATGGCTGCTCATCTAATAGCTTTGGTACCAACCTCACTCTTCTTCCTTCTTCTTCCTTGCAATTCTCTCTCTCATTCTTTGTTTCTTACATTGATTGATCTTTGTGTTTCAGGTATACTGGATGTTCAGATTAGCTACTGAGAAGCAGCAACCATTTTCTGGAAGATCCAAACAACACTGATTCTACCTCTCTCTGCAATTCTGCATTGTATGTTCCTCTGCTAACCCTAATTTCTGATTCTATATTTTTTGTTGCTGATTCTTCAAGTGAACTGAATCGTTGAACTTATGTGTTTGCTAATTGTTGTGATTTTGTTTCGATTGCTTTAATTTCTTGATGTTAGTGAGAAAATGTGAAGCGAATTTGTTTGTTTTTGATAATGTGATGACTAATTTGTTGAAAAGAAACTAATTTTGGAGATTGGTTTAGTGTTTATAGGTTTTAATCTAGTTGATTTGTAATCATGTTGCTTTTGTGCCCTAGGCCTTGATTTATGGCGTAAATTTGATTGATTATTGTTGCTGCATAACTAAATGATTAGTTTCGGACCTTTCGTAACTTCACTTTAGCACAAAATGGTGCTCCTTCCATCTCAATGCTAATATACCATTAGTAAAAGGAGAGAAAGACATCTATTTTCTTTATTCAGTAAAAATTATCGTGTTGAATTGCCCTTGCTAGTAGGCTTATGTGGGGCATTTCATTTCTTGTTCTGTTATACGTGAGTTTCACTTTATGATGATAATGGGGATTAACAAATTGTCTTCACATTGCTAGGGTATTATAAAGAAACCTGTACTTGTCTAGTTGTCTATTTAATTTTTCAAGCTAGTTTATAATCGACACATAGGATGGAGTTCTAGACCTTCTAGTACCACCAAATTATTTTGATAGTATTAGAGTATTTAAATATTACCCAAAGAAGAAATGATCTGATTCCCTCCATCTCTTTAGTGGTTTATTTCAATGGCGAATATCCTCCAATTAACAGAAACTGTCATATGTTTAACTCTTCGTGAAGGCTAGAGCATGGTACATGAGTAACAAATATATTTTGTATCTTAAATCATTATGGACATCGGAAACATTGCTGGTCGTGGATGTATCTCATGCTTCAACGCATGAGAGGTCTATTCTAGTTTATGATGGTCAACATTCAGCTTGTTAATGGAAGAGTTACTGATGCCACGCTTTTCCTGAGTTTAGCCAATGATGACATTCAGTTTCAAAAGATCTAGACAATTGAAGCTCAGATTATGAGGTTTTTAATGGCGAGCTTGATGATGATTTCCCCACCTTTCTCTGTGTCATTAAACCATGGTAGTGTTCTAGGCAATTATTGGATGGTATTAAGTCATTCCCTTCTAATTTAGTTATCTTTGATAAAGCATGTCTTCATTTTAAGTTCTGAATTATGTTTCTTGAAATACAAATCACTCTAGATGGCGGCGGGGAGAAGGGGGGATGCCTTATAGCATAAACATTACTTAGGCAGTTAGGCTAAGCTTTAAAAGCTGCAATTCTGAGATTTGAAATTTTCACTGTCCAGCTGTTGGTCAAAAAGGCTTATCGACAGAAAACATTTCTACCAATTTCTTTTTTATTGAAAATAAATGTGGATTGTTGGGTTAGATAGATCCTGGGAAAAGATAAATGATTTGATCGATTACATGAATGTTTCAAGAGCTTTATTGGGTACTCAAATTAATAGTTGGTGCCTTAGTCGAGGACCTGAGGTTCATGGCTCAAATATGTGAATATAATCTTGTTAAAACACTTAAAAGCATAGTTTGGAAGGTGTTATTGCCCACTCGGGCCCTATCATCCATGCATGGTGGTGAAACTGGTGATGAGGTCCCATGAGGATTTGCATGGCTTTCAGTTAGCTGTTTGACAGTGATGACGATGAGTCAAAATGAGTCAGTGAAAGCGTCTAACACATTGATAGTGGCTGTCTGTGTATCTTTTGGAAAGGCTGGCTGGACGGCATACCCAAATTGGTCTAAATTTCACTCTATCTCACCCTGTTCCTGGACAAGTTTAACCTTTCTGGCCTTAACCACACTCTCTTGATGGTTTTTCCTTGTGACTTGTGAGTAATGGGAGGCAGGAGGTTAATTAATGTTGCTAGTCATTTCTTTCTGTCACTTCTGTGAGATGACCCATTAGTTACCTCAGATTACTCTTTATTCCTGGGAAATTTCAAAATTGATTGTTAGGCATCCTCTCTCCATAGTTGTAAGACTTATAAGCCTAATTGTACTAAAGTCTTGGAGGCAGGTCTAATGTGTTTTTTTTTTTGTTTTTTTTTTTTAATATTTTTATAGATCCAAGTAAACGAGATAAGGTTATGGTTTACCCATGATGGCCTATCTTCTATTAGATTTCTTACCCTCACCTCCCTGGGTTGTGACTTCTAACTTCTAAGTCTTAACGTTACTATGAAGTGAGTTTTTATCTGGACGAACGGATGTGGGACCTGGATTTTTTGGCATATATACAGCGATATGGAAGTCTAGCATTTGAGGTTTAAGAATATTGAACCAGTTTTCCTTCAATACTAGTTTATTTCTCAATTCTGAGATGTGTTGCTTTCAGATTTTGAGCTATTATAGCTGGGCAAGTCTCTAAAATAGTTTGTATATGATACAGATCACTGTAGTACAAGATTATTGACTTTTCTTTTGAATCTAGAAGCTTCCATGAACTTTAGACATTTTCTGTAAATTATCTTTGAAGTTCTATTCTAAAATCCCAAGGAAAGCATACATGTAAAGGGGAAAATAACAACAAAAGGCAATGCATGATTTGCGTGTATAGTTTGTTATGGACAAGAGTTTAAACGCTTTATGCCTTGCACCCTGACCTGGAATGCTTAGATATCTTCTGCTTAATCAAGTTCAGTTGTACAGCATTGCACTTATCTTTACTCCATATAACCTTCTCCATGGATTTGGAAGTCAAAAGTACATATTGTGGCGTTTGAATTGGTTTCTGCCAAAACCTAGGGAAGCCCCGTGACTGCATCTCCTTTGATTGAATTTCTTGTAAGTATACCTAATTCTGAGTTACATTATTGGATTATGCTACTCAGGGTCTTCAATTCACCTTAAGTACTCACAGGCCATGACGCATTTCTTATTTTAAGGACACTTGAAACTTCATTTTGGATCAAGAATATGGAAATTTCTCATTTAAGTGGCCAAGGCCTTGTATTTAAACTCTTGCTTTGCCTACCACAAATATACGAATCCAAGTAACATATAGAAAGCATCAAAGATATTATAGAATCATTCAAATAGTTATGAATCAGTTAGGTATTGGATCCTATCAACCACCATGGTAAACTAGAAAACACTATCCTCCTACCTTGTGCTGTTTTTAATATTAGTTGAGTTGTATATCTATTATGGAGTATTTCTTTATAAAGATTGATAGACGTTTCCCTCATAACTTTGGTGGTTATCCTGTGTGCAGCTCTACCTTATTTGACTGTATATGCGGTGCTTGCTGCACACAACAGATGAAATGTGACGAAGATAGAGATAATGTCAACCTGGAAGTTTCCTTCAGAGAATCATTGTTTTTCTTGGTTATTGCTATTAGGGTGCGCGATGGTTTTGAACTGGAATGCTAATGTTTCTGTTTGAATGGATCTGGAAACATATGTATTGCTCAACATTCCAAATGAACATAACACCATTTTTACCATATACACCACTGTTATGGACCAACTGTAAGTTGGCCTGAAATATACTCAACATTTTTCTCCGATATACTACCTCCGTTTCACAATGCAATTTTTGAATTTTTTACCACTAATTGTTGTATACATGAATTGATTTTTTTTTTAGAAATTATATTTTGAAAATACTGAGATATACAACTAAAGAAATTCATAGTAAGACATGTATTTTGAAAGCCTTGAAAAGCAAATGATGCCAAAAAAAAAAAAAAAAAAAAAAAAAAGTTACTCCGTATGAGAGGATAATGAGTTTTATGTTTGTACAATGCGACCTGCCGACCTCATGCCTCATGGTGTCCATTTAAACAACCAATATCCAACTATTTACTATTAGCATTGGAGTTATGGTCTCGTTTGGTTGAATGTGGAATAGTACGAGTAATTAACTTGAAGAAACATCAAAATAATCAGCTTGAATCTTGAACATTTTTTTGCCTGTATTAGAACAAATAGAGTGGAAAGAAAAGAATCATGTAGAACGCCAACTAAGGTCTCATTTGGTTGAATGTGGAAATGCAAATTCCTTGGAAATGTTTATTCCCATATATTTGGAATTTCTAAAAAATGTTAAATTGTGTTTGGTTAACCATAAAAAAGTGAAAATTCCCATGGAAAATTCAACTTACCTAACTCTCCCTAGATAATTAAATACCTCCATTTTGTGGGAAGTGAAAATTCATGGAAATTTTTACTTTTTATAATTTTGTCAACCAAACAACTCCAAAGAATTTCAATTCCTAGGAATTTCAATTTCTCATGTTTTTATTTGTCAATTAAACGAAGCCTAAATAGGTTAGACAAATTCCAACTAATAAAGGTATGGCTGGCAATCTTACAAAATCAAACCATCAAATCAGTCCCCATTCACTAAAGGGTTTGACAGCATACTTCAACACTTTGTGTATACATCATCATCTCATGCATTGAAAGAGTAGTACACAAGATTGTATAAGTCAAAATAATAACCAACACCTCATCTCATCTTCACTACCATTGTTTCTCGATTGCATCATCACGTCCACCACCGTTGATCTCCCAATCCCCCCGGTCCCTTGGCTATCCATCTTCATTCTCATTGATTTACTTAAGCCAACCTAAACAACCAACCAACCAACCACCGCCAACCAACCATACTACTAATTGTCAACAACGACGCCTTATGAATGTATGATAAATGACTCTTAACGCATTTGATCATGTGATAATGCAAGCTTAAATGTTAAATACAAAGACTGTCCAGCAATAACTCAAGTATTACTTGTTATTAATCCTAGTAATTAATTCTAAAAACAATTCACTGCTAAGAATGAACTCTTGGAGATTGATCACTACTACTTCCTTCTCCATCCACATGATTCACCTTCGCCAACCCCAACCTTCCCACACCAATCCCATTACACAACGGCGTGTTTGAGTCAACAAACTCAGCCGAGTCCATCTCCATTTGACAAATCCTCACTGCCCCAATCAACTTTTCAGGCAACTCCTCCTCACTCTGACCTTCCACCACAAAACCCATGTCTATAGTTACAGATGTAACACACCCCAACGCCAAGTGTACCAACGCGCCAGCTATCTTTGAGCTTGAAATATCAACATCAACCTCCAAGTAGTCCGGTCCCCTGTGATATCTACATGTCAATGCCTTCCCTAACAGACATGCGCTGTAGTTTCCCACAGCTGTTTTAACTATCCATGGTCCCTTCACTATTCTGTTCACTAGCTTCAATCGGCTGTTTCTGAACGCATCATCGCCATTTATGAACCGGTCTAATAACGAGCCGGGTTGAATCGGCTCGTCTGTTGAGAAGTAGAATACTGCATTGTGGTGCTCCCTCCCTGCCACATTCGTTACACAATATTTTCTCTCAGCTACTAGAAGATCTCAATTTCTCAGTATTAAAATTCATCGACATTTCACAATAATAACATATTTTCTCTACAATAACACTCTTTAAGCAGATTAACAAGCTAATTTGACCTCAAAGTGTCAGTAATCTCGCAATTGATTGATGAATGTTTTTTCTTGAATACCAATCTAAAATTTATAATGATAAATTGAGGTTGGATTAAATTGATGATTTTAGCTTATATGAAGAAAAATTGTAGCAAAATTGCCTAAAATTTTATAAATTATAATAATAATCAAGCCAGATCTAAATTTAATAATAAGGTCAAGATTTAGCATTATCTGTTTCTTCAACGTTTCATGAAACATTATCCCAGAAAATACTTGTGATAAAACCGCACAACATTGATGTGATAATGAAGCTTTCAAGCAATTTCACTTAAAGTAATTTTTTCATAGCGTATAATAAGAAATATATTTTAATTTTTTTTCATTCTTTTTACATGATGAACCTGAAATTTGAGCTTAGGATTCTCCGTCGATTAAAATCAAATAACATAATCTTGCAATTAAGAGATAATTAGGTCACCTAATTAATCAATTTTCGATAATTTCACAAATTTATAATGATAATTTTTCGGAAATTCAAGCAATTCTCAGCTGAATCTTACAAAATTCAACTTCTTATATGTTCAATTAACAAATACTTAGGATTTTCCGTCCATCAAAAATCAATTTCTTTAACAAAATTCAGCAAAAAAACAATTGAATTTCGACCAATTCTCCAAAAAAAATAAAAATAATACAAACCTGGAACTTGAAGATTAATGGCGAAGACGAAGGACTTCAAGAAGCTACCATCAGCCTGACGAGACCGAAGCACGCGCATAACACGATTATCAGCACGTAACAGCACGTGCTCTAACTTCGACGTTGACCGAAGCCAGTCAACGGCGGTTGGCTTCAACAGATAATCGACGCAAGCCGGAGACTTCGTCTTCTTCGACAAATACTGTTTTGATCGGAGACAAAATAAATTTCCCGGCGGCGATGCCCAGCCGTTGGATCCTTTGTGTAAGTCCACGTGTTTTAAAGATCCACCGTTGATTGTTTCCTCTCTCCAGTCTACCTCCGTCGTAGACGACGCCGTTTCGCCATTGTTTTTGGTTGTGCACATTTTAATTTTTTTTCTCAGAGAAAAGAAAAGGTTTGAGTAGTAGAGTAGAGTAATTGGACTTTTCTAATTTTCTTCAAGAAAATTGAGATAAAAGAATTTTATGTAGTATTTATTTTTATTTTTATTTTTATTGGTAGGTGGGAAAATTAGAGTATTTTGGGAGAGGTTAAATATAATAAAAAGGGCTCGTGTGCCTTGTTCTATCTATCCTTCTAATAGACAGCAATAACAACTCATGAATTGAAAATTAGGATATTTTATGATATGATATTATTCTATTGTATCATTTGTATGGGAAGCTTCAATGTGGTTGCCTTCTCCTTTTCTTTTTCTAATCTAATCTATCTTTTACTTTTGAGTGCAGTCATGTGAGGATTCTGGAGAATCCGTTTTTATCAACATATATATACGGAAAAACTGTGTAAAAATAATACACGTTGAATATTTACAATACAATAAAAGTAAGTGAATACGGTATACTATACCCTAGCTTAATTCTTTCCAATTTGGACCTTTTATTCTCCTAATGAAAAATTATCAAGCAAAATAAATATGTGTTGGACACTTGGTTATATGTAGAGTTAGGCATGGGTTAAAATGGCAAGCTCACATGTCGTACTAATATACCTTATGTTCAAGTGATTCATCTTTGAAAAAGAACAATTAAATGTCATCTCAAGCCAATCTTTTGTATATGAGCCCTTACATAGCATGCCCCATGCCTCATCGGGCTTGTGGTGATGAGCTCATGTTGGATCGGTCTATTATTCATGTCGACCAATATACCCATATATATCGAACTCTATATATATGATAGTAATGCATAATAGAACTACAGAAATTGATTAGAAAACATAATAAAAATCGTGAATTGCTAAATCGCGTCCGGTATTTACCGGGTAATGTCCGTATTTTAACATGACATTACAAGCATGCCCCCTTTTAATTTTACCCTAATTTACTCTTACCCTAATTTACTTTTATCCCTTATAAATTTATTGTATTTTATTTTTACCCCACTAGCCACCAATCAGCCACCGCCACCAGACAACCACCAGCCACCATTATTCAACAAAAAAAAAGCTTAATTCAAAAATGATTTACACAAGCGGTGAATGGACGAGTTTGCGGAATTGACGACTCCACCGGAGAGGTCGCCTGTGAGTACGGATGAATTTTTGTTGTTTTTTTTTTATTTAGTAATTGCCGGAGAAACGCCTGAAAATTTAGAATCTAGAACGCATGAAAATTTAGAATCTACCATGGTAGGAACGCCTGAAATTTTATAATGTCCCATGGTAGATTCAAAAAAAGCAGGCGTTCCTCACATTGTATTTTCAAATGTTCATGGGAACGCCTGAAAATTTAGAATCTACCATGGAACATTCTCAAATTTCAGGCGAACCATGGTAGGAACGCCTGAAATTTTAGAATGTTCCATGGTAGATTCTAAATATTCTGGCGTTTCTTCCATGGTACATTCAAACATTTCAGGCGTTTCTACTTATTATTATTATTATTATTATTATTATTATTATTATTATTACTACTACTATCGTATTTATGTCGTTTATTATTATTATTATATTATTTAATTATTATAAATATTTAATTATTGTTATTATTATTAATATTATTATTATTATTTTCTTGGTGGATGAATTTGGTGGTAACCGGTGGTGGTGGATGATTTTGGGGGTTGAATTTGAGTGAAAGAGAAAAGTAGGTGAAAAGGGTGAAGAGAGAGAAAGCTAAAAGTAAAAAAAAAAAAAAAAAAAATGTTTTGATGGGTTATTTCAGGGAGGGATATATTAGTATGTTTATTTTAAAATACGGACGTTACCCGGTAAATACTGGACGTGATTTAGTAACCCCAAATTCGTAGTTTACTTGTTAATGGTTTTTTTTTTTTTTTTTTTTTTTTTTTTTTGGGGGGGGGGGGTGGTGGTTAAATTAATGGATTTGTTTTATCATTTACCAAGAAGTTTTTGTTATCTACTTTTCATTTTTTTGATAGAGTAAAACATATGGGATCCTAGACTTCTTGAATTGATCCTTCAACATTTTTTTTTCAATAGTTACCTGAATTAGAGTAGTTAAAGCATTTAATGATCAAAAATAGTCAAACATGTTCAATCAATCTAAAATGTACCTCTATTAAGAAAAATATACAAAATACTGAGTATTATATTCTAACGGTCCAACCAACCTAGTAAGAAAATTTAATTATTTGTAAAAGTACTACTATTCAGCTCAGTTATCTTCCTTTTCAGAGTTAAGTCATGACTTACGCGATACTTTCCTACTGCATACTTTGTTTAATGTCGACACAAATAAAGCAAATTTCCTTATCAAGTTCTTCTTTTGGTCAGGCATAGACATTAGATGAAAATCACAACAATTACCAAATTAATTGTTTGGTATAAAATACATGATGAAAAGAGTTGTACAATTATTGTAATGGCCTAATCATTTTGTCATTAATGATGTAATAGATTCCATATCTTTGCTGTAATGTGTAATTATGACTCATCAATTGTGGGTTTTTGCTGCCCAAAAACAAAATAATAAGCTCTTCAAGATGGTGAATAGTTGTACTTAATACTTGTGTATAATTGAAGATTGCTAAATTGCAGAATCTTAGTTCATCACATGTGCATGCATGGTCATGCATAAAATCCTATAAAAGACTTTTCTATCATATGCTTCATGCTTGCACTTTTTCAATTGCTTTTCACTTTAGCTAAATTGACGTGTATTTGACAAATATAATTATAGCGCGTCTTTTGTATGGCTGATCATATCGTGTGGTCACTTATAAGAAAACGAATAACCCCTAACACTGATAGAGGAAACCCCTATTATACTGATAGAGGAAACCCCTATTATACTGATAGAGTATCTCCTTATCATACTAATTGAGTAATCCTTAAATAACAAAGTGCAGTGACTCTACAACACTGACATAGTAATTCCAATATAACTAAGTAACACACACACACACACAGTCTTCTACAACACTAGCACTAAGTTCAGTATCACTAGCACTAAGTTGAGTAATCAAATTTGTACCGTAACAATCAAGTTCATTACTTATTTCTTTTGGATTGTCAAAATTGGCTACTTATGAAGTTGTGATGCATATTTCAAATTGGGCTCAAAGTATCAGTATCAGGCCCAGTCATACTTTGAACAAAGATATTGGCCCAATCCATAACATAACAAGATTAAAGCCAGCCCATACATAATTTTTTTTTGTCTTGATTTCTTTTTTTGAAACTTCATTGATGATTTAAAAGGCAAATACATTTACAAATACATAGAAATGACAAATTGCAAGGATTCTCCTTGCACTAATTAATTTAACTACAAAGCATCGAGTAATGTTATCAAATCAAACTATATAATATAAGTATATAATAGTATGATTTTCTTCTTTGTTAGACACACCCACCAGGCCCAAACCCAAGCTTACTACCAGCAACATCATAAACAATATCAAAAGTAAGTTGCTGAACATTTCCTAAAATTCCAACATCACTTGCATCTCCATTTCCAGCAAATGCAAGGCAAACTTGTGAGAGATCCTTCACATAGAAAATCCCTGCTGCAGGTAACACGATTTCGGCCTTACCACCGAACTGAAGCCCAATCTTAGGCACTGTGACTGTGGTATATTTGCTGAGGTCGAAGCATGTATCGAGGATCGATAGGGCAGGGGCTTTAGGGTACTTGGACATGGCCTTGTTGAAGGCAGTTTGTAATGCTGTGTATGCATCTGGTGGTAGACGGGTGATCACGGTACCGGAGTCGATTAGGACTCCACCTTGTGTAAAGACTGTGGGTTGGATTGAAAGTTTTTGGCCACCAACTGACATGCCTTGTAGGTCTATGAAATAGAAGGATGCTCCTGCTGACCCTGATAGGAGAGGTGTGTACGTGATCGACTTTGAACTCTGTTGTCAACCAAATCAAGTGTTAATACTTCATCTGTCTCAATATATGCAACGTTTTTGCAATATTTATGTTATTGAAATTTTGTATTGATACTTTACTAACTTTGATCACATTTTGTTAAGGTAAACATAAGTGAAATTTTTTTAATTAAATTTAGTTGTCAAGAAATTCCATCTTTAAATATATCATTCGTTTCTGAATACGTGCATCTATGTTATTATTCTAATCGTTAGGTTACTAATGGTTAAGTATAATGTTAGCAAGTGTAAAATTTAAACTGGATCATGTATTAAGAAACCGAGGAAGTTAAAAAAACGTACCGTGCCCCCTTTACCAAAGGTGAGATGACCGGTAGAGCTTGCCTTGGAAGGCAAACAATAAGAGAAAACTTGACCATATTTGGTAGCACATTGTGACATAACGGACAATTGGTTTCTACCAAGCCCAATAAGCCCAGCAGACCCACCAAAAAGGCCTTGATTATTCTCACCACATCCAAAATAAAAGTTTGGAATTGTGTCATAGGAGGAGCCCAAAGTTAGAGTGTCCTTAGCAAGGAATCCAACCGAGAAGGATGAGTCCCCATATTGTATGCCGTAAACGCATGTGGAGCCGGCACATCCCGGCTTCGCGCTGGTGGCCGATCTCACCTCCGAGCATAGCGTCGAGGTGCATGTAATGTTCGAGTACGTTGATGACTCTGAGGGGTTGAACACGGGGTCTTTTTGCTTGTAGCAGCTTCTTTTGCATGGTTCACATTGTGTCCATGTGAAATCACTACCTAAATTCACAAGCAAGTGCATATTAGATATTATGAAGGGTGCTATTAATATCATACTACATAGTACATACTATAAGGGATAAAGAGGTAGGCTCTTGCTCTTTCAAATTAAAACAATCAATTTCATTATATATTTCATCATTGTTTGACATTTAGAGTCACTAATTATTAGTTAATGAGTTAATATTCATTAATGAACACAAATAATATCTAATCCGCATTTGGACTATACTTGACACTAGAAGATTCAAAATTAATCCAAACCGAATTGACTTATCCGAACCCAGCCCATATTCAAAATTGACACAGTCCAATATTGAATTGATCCAACCAAAATTAAATATACGTAAAATTGATTTGTCATCCACCACATAATAATGATACTACTTGTAATATTTAACTTGAAATAGACCTACATGGACTCAACCAAACCCATATCCAAACCAAAATCTCCTCACCTAATCACAATCCGACACATAAAATCTAACCCGATTTAAAATAACTTATTTGTCACCTCTATTTATACTGGTATTACTACGTACCTGTATCGAAAATAAGGGAGAGGTCCTTTTTAGGGGTACCAAGGCCAATAGTGACAATGAAATTGCCAGACCCAATAGTACTACCGGACTTTGCTGGAAGGCCCACTGCTTTTTGTTTAACTCTGTCCTTTTTTGGTGCCTTTTTGTGGTCCGTCACCGAGTCAACTTCCACCGATTTAGGCTTGACTCGCTCCCTAATTGAGTCAACTCGTTTTTCATCGTTTTCTAGAATTTCAACGTGGATTGTGCGGCTTTCTTTGTCTGACTCCAATGTTGAACATGGCCCATGCTTATGCCTCACTTCTAGAGAATTTCCCTTTTTAATTCCTGCATTGTTTTCCCAAATTTCTGTCATATCTATTTACAGTATGATTTTTTTTGCTGAAGTTTATAAATACCATATTATCTCCGTTAATAATTATTTACAAGAACTGCAACGATTTAATATAAAATAGAAAGGAAAAATGTCTCATAATTGTAAATAACCGTTAATGGAGATAGTATATTTAATGTATGTACAGCACATTTACCGTAATAATAAGTTGCACGTAAAGTTGTCATTCATGATTCGATTATTGAATATGTATACAATTTTAAAACTTACTTATAAGCAATGAATGTATATACTTATAAAATAATACTGGGTATGGCTTTTATTTTAGGTTTTTATAAAAATATCAAGCATCAAATGATATATAGATGTTTGTTTTCTACAATGATGTAAGTACATAGTATTATACTCCGTATAATTTTTCTTTTAACTTCGTATTCAACTTTTAAGGTTGCATTTATTTAAAAAAAAAAAAAAAAAATTAGAGTTGTATTAATCGGTTTTCTATATCTTATTTTAACTAGTTGACAACTTAGTAGTTATTTTTCTTTAATTGTAAATACTCTTATGCATAGTGACCAATTGTACACCAAATATGTCAACTAGTTTATTTTATGAGCGAAATCGGAGTTTGGTGTTTGTTGTTACTCTTTAAGTTAAGTTTTGAGCTTAAACTTTTAAATTTAGTACACCATTGTCAGTTTGTCACCATATATATTTGTCAATTGTCACCATATATATGTTACTAGAGGTATTAATGCAACAACATTTCCACCGTCTATAAACTACATAATTAATAAATAAAAGAACTAATAGATTTCTTACCAAGTACCTTTCCATCCATAAAAGAAGGAATAATCAAATAAAGGAAGAAGTAGTGTAAAGAAGAAAAAGGGGGAATAATTTTATTGGTTGCCTTTTGTTTTGAGTATAATCAACAGGTTGGCAAAACCCGTGCTCAAAGACCTACACCCACTTATATTAATTGGATTTATTCAAACTTTATTTATAAATTAATAAAAATATATTTTAGATAGAAGAAAAGTCTTATTCACAAGCAAAGTCTTACTCACTAGAAATTTTTTGTGTGATGCCAAAAAATTGTTTTACTTGTAGTAATATTTGAATAAAACGAGACAAAGTTGGTGATTAATATATGCATGAATTAATGAATGTATATAAGTCACATGATGACATAGTAAAGTGCTCACCTACTTTTGTTAGGCAGTATATGAATAATTCGACATCATATTGTCTTAGGTTATTAAAAGATTTATAATCATTCTATTTGGTGGTGTATTAAGTACTTAGTTAAACATAAAGATTTAATTGTGTGGATAAAGTGGCTCACTCAAAATTGGGAGCCACAACTACGACGTTTCTATTCCGCTAGCTATTTATTGACACGAAAATTACATATTTGTCTTCATTGTTAATTAGCCATCAAATTACTTTGTATGTAGTTAACTTGTTATTATATCTAATTGTCACTATTTTAGTAATTCAATGCTCAACTTCTTTGATAAGATATACTAGCTACTATGATGAGCTTATTACATCCGATTACGAATGTTGTTAAGTGCACCTAAGAATTTATGAAATTCAGTTGCGGGGAAATGTTTATGATGAGCTTATTACATCCGACTATATATGAATGATCTTAAGTGAACTGTTGTACCTAAGATTATATGAAATTCAATAATTGCGGGAAAATCTTTATGGACAAGCTATGCTTAACTTGAAAAATGTATATCATTTTATACAAGAAGGTAAGAAGCTAACGTGGGTGACGCATAAGAAAACAATTTAATTAATTAGATAGGCCATACATCAACATCGATTTATACGATGTATATGGATAGCTTATATTGTTGCCTCAATTTTATTGGTGGACAAAATTTACGCTTGTAGTAGTAATCTTTCACTTCCTATATATGAACTTGTTATTACACTTCTAATCCCAATAGATTGAAAAAGAATAATAATGGAAATTAATACTATATTGTTCTTCATAATATTTCTTAGTCTATTATTTGTATGAATTAATAAGGCAACTTATCAAAGATTAGACTTGGTAACTAAGTAATAATTAACGAAAACCGAGAAGATTACCTTATTACGTACCTTGCTTGGCATTTAATTTCGAAGTTTTGAAATAAAAAAAATGGTACTCTAAGGTTTCATATATGACTATATACGCTAAAAGATATAACAATTTAAAATTATTGATGGCCGTCGCTAAACAAAATTATTTAGCGACTGTCAATATACTAGTTACCATAACAAAACCATACATAAATACACAAACTAGTATTTATTCAAGATCGAAAAAGGCAAAGGCGTTACCTTTTGGGGAAGGATTGCAACCCTCTTCATCAGTAGCAGGAAGAAGAGAGCTAACTTCAACAGTATGAAAGTGATGTTCTTGTTCCAAAGTTGGAGGATGATGAACTTTGGCAAAACATTGGCAATTAGTAGAAAGGAAAAGAATAACCAAAGAAATAATAATGGTTGGAATAGGAATAATAATAGTGGCCATTGTTTAAAGCCCCACTCTCTTTATTACTTACTACTAGTTTTTCTTTCTTTGCAAGTTTGTATGCAAAAATGCCAACTCTAAGAAGGCCTATTTATATAATAAGGCTAGGTTTTGAGTTATAAAACTTAAAATTGTATATAAATATCAATTTTCAATTTGCACGTCACCTTTTGCCCACTATTACATTATTTACATAATACATACAAATACAATCTGCATTTCTTGGTGGTTTTCTTGGTGGTAGGGACTTAGAAGTTTTATTTATATTTAGTTATACGAAGTATTTACTATTATTATTATTATTATTATTATTATTATTATTATTATTATTATTATTATTATTATTATTATTATTATTATTATTATTATTATTATTATTATTATTATTATTATTATTATTTACTTTTTTCACTAAAAAAAATCAAGTATTAACATGCTTGGGGGATAAGGTTATTTTTGTAGTGGGGTTATTGTTGTTAGTGGGTTTAATTTATTTTATTTATCTTTTATGAGTATTAGTGGGCTTTGTAAGTATGGTGTGATTCCACTAATTATATTGCTTAAAATATTTATAACTTACTCCGTAAAAGATAGAAGTGTATATAACTCTAAGAGAATAGATTTAAAGTTTTTTCTCTTTTCTTTTTGGTTATTAGACAATATTTGTTAGGATCAATCAATTGGTTTAATGACTTGATTCCTTGTTGCTTTTGTCGGATATGCCCTATTCCCTTTAACAAAAGCAATAATTCAACAAAAAAAAAAGTTACTTGCTTTAATTTCTTGTTAGTTGATAACTTATATCTTGACAAAAATTAAACTTTGGTGATTATTCAAGCATGAATTGTATATTTTATCATTTACTTTGACTCATTTATATTCGATCTTTATATGTCACTGTTTTACATTTTTTTGAGACAGATTTTGATCTAATTTATTTCCTATTAATACATGTTTTTGTACGACTTTGTCTCTAATAAGTACACTTATTGTGATAAACTTGTATATACACTATATATAGTATTGAAAATACAGGAAATTTACTTCATTAGACAACTCAGACACTCTATATGAGTGGTTTTTCAATAAGTTTGGATTTTTGACTTTTTGTTGCATAATTTATCTCGATTTAACATATACTCTCCCACCAATCCACCAAACTTCATATATATATATGAGAACTGAGCATGAAACAAGTCTCATAGGAAATTGGTGAATTTCTAAAATAAGAACCTTTTAATTTAAATGATTTGTTTCGTAATTATAGATTTTCATGATCAAATGCATATCGTATTAAATTTGGTTTGAAAGAAAGAACAGAGCATTAACTACAAAGTACATCTATAAAATTAAGTTAAAGTCTACTTTAATTTTATAGAGTACTAATTAAAGACTAGTAATTTTACTTAGTAAGATATTTAGGCAAGGAGAATTGTGACACTCATCGAAATTTAACTTCTATGGTCTTTAGGTCCAGTATTTGCGAGCTGTATAAATATTTGAAACTTTAGAAGTAAGGGTGAATTGAAGTAAGTGGATTGAATCGGTGCGAATCCACATCTTAGGATCTAAAGTGATACTCTTACGATTTTATCAAATGAGTTAGTGGCTCTTCACTCTTGCCTAATAGAGAGAAGCAGCAAACTTGGTCAATATAAGGCACGAAACAAAACTATCTCTAATTGGTCATGTTACTCATGTATGCATAAATGCGTCCAGCATTAATGTGCTTCCACATTGGACATGATACATAAATACATGATACCTCCTTTTCACGCGTTACTATTCTATATTGTGAACTAGCTTCTAGCTTATGGGTCCACGTTCCACTAATTATTTACACAGGTACACTAACAATGTTAACATATACGAAGTATCTTGTAAAAAAACAAAAACAATGTTCACATATACAAAGTTGAAGTATTTTATAAACACAACTGTTTATATATCAATGTTTAATTTTACAATATTAATTATTATTTATAATATTAGGAAATGCGTAATTAAATATATTAATAGATGACTAAGGTATAATTTATGAAAACGGTACGAATTACAATGAAAATATGTATTACAAGTATAATACAGAAAAAAAAGAAATATAAGTTGATGACAAAATTATGTGTTGATTGATATTATTACAAGTAATACTTTTTTGTTTTGAAGATTATTACGAGTAATACTTAATACGGAGTACTACATAAATAGCTTTTCTTTTCAACATTCTAGATTATTTATCATTTTCTTTCCTATAAGATATTCTTTTCTTACATAATCCACATATGATACACTTTCCACTCACTATTTATTAAATTCTGGCATCCACCAACAATGGTATTGTTCTATTATTATTCAATGGAAGGTTCCATACAAGGTCAACAGAATGGACATTCTTTATGTTAGCTTGATTTTTTTTTAATTTTTTAATTTTTTAACATGATAAGGTCAATTGGGTCACAGTCGAAGGCTCCTATCACAGGAAACCTAACTGATCTTGTCCTAGAGGGATGGGGGTGAAATTTGTCGCTGATGAGGATCGAACCTCGAACCTCGGACCTCAAGGATGCAAGGCGACCTCTTATGCCACTGCACAAGCTTGATGTAATAATAACATCTAGGGAGAATAATTAAGTGCTTATTAATATTATAGTTGATGGTGGTACAAAAAACAGTATTCACGCTTAACATCCATAACGAGAACTGAAATTGAACTTTTGTAGCTCTTATTAACTGAAATTTAGTTTATTATTTGAATCTATTTTTCCCGAACTTATCTTATATATAAGAATTTAATACAATGATTATAACTTAATTCCTAAAATAAGTGGAAATACAATGAACAAAAGTGGGCCAAACCAACTTAAAATTTTGACATGGAAAGAAAAAAACGAAAAGAATACTCTGTACAAAAGGACGTTAAGAAGTACGGATATGTTCAATTCACTTGATTTTTCATTTATTCAAATTTAATTGAAAGTAGTAGCTTATTATAATTTACTAAACCTCATTCTAGTTGTAATTGAGCTTGGATAATCCTTAAAAATATTTTTATCAGATCATAGTTATTGAACTTATCTTATCTAATACATTGTAAAAACTAAAGATTTCAACCATCACTGCACCTTAGGTTTTTGGTACGATTGAGTTGATCCTCTAAGTTGATATCAAGAGAGCCATTAGTGTGATAAAAAGGTCACGCATCTAAGTCTCATCCACCCCTCTATTTAGTGGAATATATAGTGATGGGCGTGACCACATGAGGAGATTCATATTACACCCACATTTTAACCCTAAAGGACTCTCATATAGTACAAAAATCAATTTCAGACTTCAAACATCAATAACTTTAGAGCTTAATGAAACCAAGCCTAAATAAAGCTTGACACAATGTTAAAGGTTTGGTTTAATGAGTGGAAAGTGGGTAAAGTTCTAGCAATTTTAGTATAGTAGACTGTAATCCCAAACTTAACATCAATTAGTTGGAAATCAGGCAGGTCCAGTTGCTATAATCCAAGTCTTGTCACACAATAACTGGTCAGTTAAGATGTTAAATGCCATACATTAAGTCATTAATCATTATTGAACCAATTAAAATCAAGAAATTCTGGTGGTGGCCGACATTATTTATGAGGACCGATGAGGAGTATACGCAAGATTTAATAATGATGATTTATTTTTTGAAAGGATGTTCATTTGAATCATTATTTCTAGTTATAGATTAAGGATAACAAATCTTGGATTAGAGATTATCCATAACCAAGCATACATCTAATCAAAGATTTAAGGGAGTGTAATCACACTCCACTTCTCTCTTAATTAAATCGACTAATAACAATTTTAAGTATGTTGTTGTCTATCTAGTTGGTAAGGGGTAGATTTTAGGATTTTAATTTAGGTTAGAATAGCAATTACATAGTTCCTTAAAAAACAATTACATATTTACATGGTTTGGTTTTAAATAAGTGCTGTAAACAGAGTTTATTTATTTTATTTTTTTAAAAATAATACTCTCTCCGTTTCATAATGCTAGTCCCATATACTATTTTGGGCGTTTCAAAAAGATCTACCCATATATATTGAATATGTTCCAATTTTAACTTAATTTTTTTGGAGTTAATTGGTTGTGGATTGATGACATGACTCTAAGTAAGGAAATTTCTATCTTGAATTATGCATTATAACTTATGCTTTCCCAAAAAAAATCAAAAAACTTAAATAAGGTAAATTAATTATGAAATATTTTGTACTTTAATGTTAATTTCCAAATATTCTTCTTTTCTTATTTTATGTGATTGATTTTATATGTGACTAACATTATGAAACGGAGGGAGTAAGTAGTGATGAAAGAAGTTTGTGAATAATTAAGTAAATAAAGGTTTAATGAAGATACAAAGTATATTTTAATATTCTCGTGTTATGTAGGCCAATCATAATATAGCTCGTGGTGTTCCATTTCATGATAAAACTAAAGACGGAGTGACAATAGACACTAATAATTTTTACCAATGCTCACTGTGCACACGTATTGAAACAATAGTTCAATCAGCATTAAACGTGTGTGCCTCACAATCGGAGAAAATGGTGAGACAAAAATATGATGTACAAACTAAAAATCGTAGCGTATATGACCATATAGTTCAAATCCAAATACTGGTATAAAGTAAATGAACATACAATTCAAATCTAAATAATATTTTGTATATAGGACTATTAAGATTTTACTCCTAAGATGAGGCAACATCCTATATGATTGAAGCACTTGTATCACTCATTTTTCTCAGAGAATTCACACAATCATACATCCCTTTTCTCCTTATCTAAAATACAAGATGAGCTTTAATTCCATCTTCATCTGATTTAGCTATCACAGCCAAATGAATTATTATACCAATAGATTTTATTTTTGGGACAATTAATGTCGTCCTCTTTGTACTTTTATTCACTATATAATTTAGCAGCCAACACTAGTATCCATTCTATCCAACAAATAATGCTTGCAAGCCAAAACATAAAAACTTAAAAAATGAAATAAAATAAAATAAAGTGTTGCTTGTACATATTTCATTATTGAAGGGAATTACACCAAAGTTGAAGTCATTATCAATTGTCCTTATGTTTGGAATCTTGTTTGGCAGTGGCCCTAACAGCCCAAATTTCTTACTTATCAAGAAATTCGGTTTCCCATTGTCATAGTAGCATGAGAGTAAATTGTCCTAATTATCTATTATACATTTTAGTGTACCATTTATATGATACATAATGGTGTAGCTGAGAGCGAAAAAAAAATCTTGTATAATAGAATAACTTGATACATTATTTGATTGGAATCCTCTTATACGTGTGGTAGCAAGGGCATGTTCTATGGCTAAAGATGCTAGAATCTTAATAATAATTATTCACCAAATTCAACAAATTAATAATTTTGGATTGGGACTTATTCTGATTAGAAAAGAATATAGGGATTGATGGGATATCAATCAACTTAGCCAAAATGATAATCTTAGTTTTAGAAGCTAACACGTTATCATGATTTATGACATGAAATGAGACTCTTACCCCCACCAAAATAAATAAATAAATTGATAATTAGGCAATGAGTTTTTAACAGAAAATCATTATAGTACTTGGTTAATGCTATTTCATTAACAGACAACAGTAGTTCGATAAGAATTAAATCATTGTTACTATAATAAATCATTTATATCATTCTGTTACATGTCACAGAAATTCATGTCGAATTCTAAGGTGGTGCTCCATCACAAAAGCCATTATCGGTCTATCATTTTAAGCATGAATTAGACTCTACATTTCATCCTTTAATTTGGATGCTTACAGAATGATAAATGTCATCTTTATACCTATGTTCATGTAACAAAATTAGAAGGTAAAGGGTGGTAAGCCTTCAAAATCGCAGGTTCGAATCTCATCTCATCTCAGGAGATAGGCGGGTGTGGGGATAGCCGTATAGGTTATGTTTGTTACGGTTTAAACCATGTGCTGTGTACATGTTCCAGAAATAATCCCTAACCCAAAGTTATTATAGATTATGTTTCTGTGATCAGTAACAGAGCTAATTTAGAGTTAAATCTTGCATTTTGTCAATTTTTCGAAAAACAATATAAAAAACTTCACAGTTAAGCAAAAGGTAGGGCATATAGAACTTTTTACCACTTTCAGAAAGTCTGAATTTATTTTCATCCATTCTTTGATCACTCATGTTTTCCTGTTATCATGCTTTTTCATGACACAAAAAAAAATAAAAAAATAAAAGGTGTTCACACTCTCAAAAATCAACAAGTGCATAATTAGTCATTAGTCAAACTATCAAAGTAATCTGTATACTAAAATTTTCTAAGAATAAGGCGTTTTGGTCACCCTGAGAAGTACTCAACAACCCACTAGTTGGACACTTGGACTGTTAGTGCTGAGTCTTATTTTCAAAATTGGCAATATTCAACTCCAAGTGAATAATTGACGAGAAAATGCAGGATTGGTTTTATACTCTATCAATCACAACGACGTTTCAATATGGAATATAGTTGAAAGGATTTAGAGAGGATCAAAACTCTTGAATATCACTCGGTAAAAGAATTCAAATGTATGACATCAAATTAACTACGATACATTAGTTTATCAAAATTCGGGCAGGGTTAAACCTTAAACAAACAGACACATTTGCTGCAACAGAAGATTAAATTCTAATGGAAAAGCTAGTCTTGGTCACTCAGACAATCTTCTATATGATGCTCTTAGAAGTTTCATACCAACCAACAGAATTTGGAACAGGCTAACAATAATTCACTTTGGCATTTTCATTGTGACACTTTATGCTCCGCTTAGAGATAGCTTTTCATTTTCTGTCCACTAAAAATAATAAAGAGATTCAGCAGAATAACAGCACTTGGCTTTTGTTGCATGTGCTATAACTTTCCTCCCATTATCAAACATATATATGCATTACAAATAGTTTACCAACCACAACCACCGCTATATGGTCTACATTATATTCGCACCATGGAGGTGCCTGCCAGATTATTCATACATAGCCTTACCGTGAAGAAGGCTGTTTGCGAAGGAACTGATCTATATGGATCATAGGTATGGGAGGGAAAATACGACAGTAATTGAGTTTGATGCAATTAGAATTTGGTCATTCCGGCTATCCTTGCAAATGGGCATTGTGATCATATGAGCAGCATGCAACTGAAACACATTTAAAAAATTTCCTATACAAAAAATCCACCTAGAACCTAAAAAAGCATAGATACTACAAATAAAAGCCATAAAAGAATAGATACTACAAATAAAAACCATATTATGCCTCGGATGAGCATCATAAATCTCCACTTTATGCTATTTACATGAGGCAAAAAACCCGTCCAGCCAACCTTCATGATAACTGAGGTAGCAAAAACAGCTTCCACCAGACACAGAATTCAGTAGCTGATGGATAAAGAACATCCATCTTAACAATGTTGACTTGTTATTACATAAAGTTTGAAACTCATGCTAATCATATTTATTAAACATACTCATCAAATGGGCGCCACAATAAATGCATTTCATTATCTGAATACAATCAAATTATACACAAAAAAATAAAAAAAATGCATAAATAATCATGTTTTTAACTATTATTCAATAGTATTACAAACATTTGAGAAAATTTGTTTGTATGAGATGCTTATGTCTCGAACTAGGCTAGTAAGATAGCAATTATATTTATAATAATGTATATTGCAAGTTATGGAGGAGAAGGATCTTTGTTGATGATTACACAGAATAATCAAATTTGGTTCATGTAGTCGACCCACTTATGGGATTAAGGCTTTGATTATATTGCAAGTTATGACACAGTTTACCATGCCACTAACATGTAAATCTCATATAGATCACTCATATATAAAGATCAATTGATTGACATAATATTCAAAGCACATTATGTGAGATATATGCATGCTTAAACTTACATGTTTCTCTGTGACTGTGTTCCAGAAAGTAGCCGCAAGGACATTGCCAGAGTCATCAGCAATCAACCACAGAATCTATCCAGGAGAACACACTATGTTATAGAAACTTATAAATCAGAGGCGTAATTCAAAATTCCATTTCAGGGATACATGCTCAGTTGATCTAATTTTGATTTAAGAGCCAACACATAAATTTATTGACCCAATTGCAGGGCTGCTAAGTTAGCACAAGATCTCAGCCATTCTCAAGGCTGCAGAATAAGAGTAGCGATCAATCCCAACATCATGTGATTGCGTCTCCCCAAAGAACTTTATGGGACCTTCACTCAAGCCATTCTATAGCACAAGATCTCAGCCATTCTCAAGGCTGCAGAATAAGAGTAGCGATCAATCCCAACATCATGTGATTGCGTCTACCCAAAGAACTTTATGGGACCTTCACTCAAGCCATGCTGTGAAAAACCAGTCAAAACAGACTTCCATGAGACAGAACCTTTCAGGTCTATTTATTCAAAACAACCTCAGCAGATTAACCATGACTTTTTCATTAGACTTCATATACATAGCTATCAAAGAATTTGATATTGTCGCAGAACTCTCTAGACTCTAGCCCTCACTTTAATACCAAGCAACGAAAACATTTATCATGGACCTAAAATGACTCTTCAAAACAGGCAGTGATGAACTGATGATACTAGTATACGTATATAAATCAGGTTCAAAACCAATCTTTTGCATATTAAAGAAGAATTTAAGAGCAAGCCTTTCCTTGTTATACAGAAGTTAAGCCTTAACATGTTATTCCCTTCCAGTTACCAAATCATGCACATAAAAAACACCATAGAACACCTTCTCAGCACGTTCCAGCGATCCACACTCAGAATATGATGTATGGAGAGCATTATAAAAACTCAGCCCATGCTTGATGACCAAAGTCACCAAAGAGTGCAATTGCTAATTTGCTCCCACAAATAACCTCACCATTGCAAGCAACCCCGTTGAGAAGTCTACCAAAATGTACTCATCAACCACCGTCTCATGTCGCTGAACAAATCCCAAGTGAGACCAAAATACCAATGTTTACACTCTACAGAACCAGCAATCATACTATTCCAAAAAAACAATATTTCTCCGAGACATTTCATCGAACACTTGGTGTGCGATCCCCAAAAGCCCATATTTTGCATACCCAATTATGGTATTATTTGCAATTCATGTACTTTTCTACAATAACCAACTTTAATTCCAGCATTTTCCAAAATCATCTGATAAATATGATCGTTTTTTTTTATAACCTGCATTTTAAAATTTTGGAGGGGATAATAAAGAGGGAAGAATTAGGGCCCAGATATTTATATACTATTTGGGCCCCCAAAATAAAAGAAATTATTGGGTTTAGCCTAAAGCAAGATTTCCCAAAATTTCTCTCCTCGTTTTCTGCAACTTCTGCTGGTGAATGGTGTTGGCGAAGCAGAATGGTGTTGGCGAAGACAAGCTTATTATTTAAGGTATATATATTTTCTCTCAATTTCCTTTTTTGGGTAGTGTTAGATTTTTCTATTGCTCAATTTTTTAAGGGTTTTAATTAATTATTTGGCTGGATATCAGTATATGGATGTATGAATGTGGATTACTGTTTAGTTTCGTAATTAAATGTGAAATTGTGTAATTTTATAGCTCCATTGTTTCAGCAAACTAAAGTATTCATGTATATTTGTTGAGTATCAACCATTTTGAGTGATAGTTTTTGAGGGGCAAAAAAAGAGAGGGTGATCAAGGTGTCTATTATATTTGTGTTGTGCATAATCAGTGACTGCTCATGGGCCTCATGTACAACTTTCTATTGTTTTATGCTTACTCATGAATCACACTATAACATTATGCAGTTTCTGATGCATGGTATCCTTGTGCTCTTAAGATGAGGAAAAGTTGCTATCTTTTATGGTATTCCCAATAGAGACGACGTGGATCCTGTAGCTCAGAGAATTCAGCATGTGTGAAATCTAAGGGATATTGTGCCTGAAATATGGATGCGTGAATTCGTGAGAATTAGAAAATTTCAAACTTAAATCCTCATTCAAAGTTACCATTGTAACTTTGTATTAGTAATAGATGGAGGTGAAAACAGAAAGAAGTAGGCCGATTGCAGCCTTTATGGCCTTTGGCACCAAGGGTGATGTCTACCCTATTGCCGCAGTAGCTGCAGTTTTTGCCTGTGATCAGAGAAAGTATGAAGTTATTTTCATCAGTCACTCTGCCGATCAGGACTTAGCTGCAAATTTGGCTGTAAGTAATATAAGATATATTCCAATTTCTTCTCCACCGGTTCTTCCTCCTCCAATAAGTTGTGAGAATGATAAGTCTCTCGCTCTGTCATTCTATAGTGAGAAAAACACGGTTACAAGGGAACATAGGCGGGAGTGTCTTACAGTCATGGAAAAGATCTATGGAGATGGCCCGAGCATGAAGGGTGATTTTGTTTTGATCAATTTTTTCGCTTTAGAAGGATGGAGTCTTGCTGAACTGTTTCATGTTCGGTGTGTTGTTGCAGCTCCTTATGTCGTAAATTACACTGCTCCCACTTCGTTTCAGAGGCAGTTCAGGCGAGAACTTCCACTTCTTTACCAGTACCTGATAGAGGCACCTGATAATAAGCTTGGCTGGAAGGATGTAATTCATTGGATGTGGCCACTATTTACTGAAGATTGGGGATCATGGAGGAGCGATGAACTGAATCTTAGCCCTTTGCCTTTTACAGACCCGGTGACGGGTCTTCCTATGTGGCATGAAAGGCTGTCATCTCCCTTACTGTTGTATGGATTCAGCAGAGAGGTTGTTGAGTGTCCTGATTATTGGCCTTCAAATTCTCGCGTTTCTGGGTTTTGGTTTCTCCCTTCCAAGTGGCAGTTTTCATGCAGCAGCTGCAGCGATATGATTGATTCAGGAGGGGAACTCTGTTCGACTCATACAGGGCTACAAAGCTTTCTTGATGCTAATTTATCAATGCCTCTTGTTTTCATAGGTTTGAGCTCAGTTGGTAATTTGGGTTTCTTGAGGAATCCTAGAGCATTGCTTTGCATCTTACAAGCTGCTGTAGAGATCACCAAGTGTAGATTCATCCTTCTGACAGCTAAATATGAACCACTGGATGTGGCTGTTCAAAATTTTGCTGTTGAAGTTGATTCATTAATACTAAGTCAAAGTATCAGTCTAAACTATGGGATTTCTTTGTGCAATGACCATTTATTTTGCTTTTCGGGTTCTGTTCCCTACAGTTGGCTCTTCCAAAAATGTGCAATTGCAATCCATCACGGAGGAAGTGGATCCACTGCAGCTGCACTGAGAGCTGGAATACCTCAAGTTGTATGCCCCTTTATGCTAGATCAATTTTACTGGGCCGAAAGGATGTGCTGGCTTGGAGTAGCTCCTGAACCCTTAGGAAGAAATAAATTGCTTCCCGAAAATTGTGATGACATGAACATCAGGGAAGGTGCTTATGCTTTGAAGAATGCTATAAATCATGCTATGAGTCCTGATATAAAAGCACGAGCTCTAGAGATTTCAGAGAAAATTTCTCAGGAGAATGGAGTCTCAGAGGCTGTCAGAATTCTCACAGAAGAAATAGCTAATGGCAATACTGTAAGTGACTAATTTTGGCACTTTCTATTTATTATAGCCTCCTAGAAGCATATAGTGGATGGTGATGGATATTAGAAGTTGTTCAGCTTTCCTCGTTACATAACATTATTCATTGTGATTGGCATCTCTGAACTGTAATAAGTGCCTATATTAGAATTTTATCTGCGTACACTGTACTGTTAACCTGATGTGTCTAAAAAGGGTTTTAGTTTTTCATGCAAGGTTAGGGAGGGAGTGTCTACTATACTCAACCTTCTCTGTATAACTGCAAAGAAATTTTTTGTAGCCTTATCCTTAAAATTGTTATCTAGTCTAGCAGCATAAAGCAAGGAATCCTAGAGTTGAGTTCCTTATGCTTCGTGTAGGATACTATCTTTCGCCTATGATTCTCCTTTAAGTAAAGTACAATATTGACTTGAATGAGATTGTAGCACAGAGGAGTGACTACTGAGCTTCTTCATAAAAAATGGAAAAAAAAAAAAATGAATACATTACAACATGAAATAAGGCCACATATAAAGGTGGGATTGTCTGGTAATAATTATGGAGTTTGTGTGTTTGGAAGACAATGTTTATTAGAATTAGTTGTAAATGATGATTAAAATTTATAAATCCAATGTAATCTAAAGTTGAAAATTTCCAATTATATACTCTTTTATCCATCATTTATTGAACTGCAATTGTTGTAGCCCCTTGTAGGGTATCATTTTTAGAAAGAACAAAGAAGTGAATATATTGAAGGAAAACAATAAACTGGAATATTGTATTTAAGAAAGAAAATTTATATGCAATAAATACAGTCTAAATGCTCAAATTGGAGCTAAAGAAACACTTCAATGAATATCTTGCCACACCATAGTTCACTATCATCTTCCATGCTCATCCATTTATCCTTGAACAAATTTGTCGTACCTCCCCTTCGCCATCAGTCTTAACTCCTATACTGCTGAGCTTCAAAAATGATTCACTCCATCCTCCGTAGAAACTGTTCAAGTCACTAGCAAATTGCTCAATCAAGTTTTTTGTTCTTTGGTCATTGAACAGGACTGAGTCAGTTTGGAGCAGTCCTTTTTTCTCCATGAGATTTTTGTAGTATTGATTGTCGAATGAGAAGGCTGTCTTGGGGTCGAAGTTAACAGTTTCTGATGTGCTTGATGCACATTTTTTAGCTAATTTTTCCGCATAGTCTTTGTCTAGTGATGAATCAACAGAAGTGAGGTTGCCCTTTGAACTAACTTGAAACCGGTCACTGAAAGCGTTACAATGTGCTGACCCGATGGTGTGTGCACCTGCAACATTAAATTTATTAATGTGATGCATATGTATATATGTACGTTTGGGTAGTAATGGTGGAGGGAAGGGAAGGGGAGGGAACCAGAGAGAAGTAGGCTTGCGTTTTCCTCCAAATCTTTCCAATTTTAAAAGTATTTTGTTTGTTTATTTGGGGGGGGGGGGGTGGTTTCAATATCTCTATTTCCCGTTCTTTCTCTCGTCCCTAATCCATATCTTAACAAAATAAAATGAATCTATTAGTGCATCACTCTGCTTTCCTTTCTCTTCTATATGTCTCTCATTCTAAGTACCTTACCAATGATTTATATTGTATCTCTTGTTAGGAAAAATTTAACTTCTACATTGACCCTTGGATTGAGCTCTATGGCTAGGACTTAAGAGAGACTAAATCAATGGGGTTGCCACAGACCTGAGAACAAACCTTCAGCAGAAGCTCATAAATAGTTTTGTAAAATTATGCTGGGAGAACAGACCGATGGACTTCTTTTGAATTTGAATTTGAATTGCCATCTATTTTCAGGCTTAGGTAGATCAATGCAATTCGAGCTCGAGCTAAATGACCTCGCTCGTGATATATATATCATGTGCTTATTATTACTTGACATAGAGTTAATTGAGGCATTATTGAGGGCTGTTTTAGATCATGAGTCCAGAGGTACAAGCAGCAATTTACTTTGGCTTGCCTTGACTGGTGAGCCAATCTTTTTTGGACCACTTATCCTTCATAAATAAACATACTTCTCAACTGTTCTTGGCTTATTGCCTTTATTTTGCTAATCTACCTTAATCAGAAATATAATTTCATTTTAGGAAAGCATTTTCAGCAATTTGTACCTGATAAAATGACTAGATCAGTCAAACTCAATCCTTTAGAGCTGAAAATCTTAGCCATATCATCCACCGTGAAACTCGTGTCAACGATGTTAGGCCTGACATTCGATATCATAGAAACCATTCCGTCTTTCCTACCAGTCGGCATCTGAATATCTGGCCCTCCAGCCTGTTATCAGAAATTCACATCACAAAATGTAAACAACTAAAAAAGTGTGTGTTTTCACCAAAAAAAAAAAAAAAATACTAAAAGTGTGTGTGTATGCGCGCGCGCATGCGCAAACTCGAGAAAAAAGGGTAGGTTTTATGGTACCATGACAACAGCATCTCTAGCAGCCAGTGCAAGAATATCAGCACATGAAACAGTTCCAGGGCAGAACAATTCTAGCTCTCTTTTAGCCGTCTCTATTACTTCAAATCCTCCGAGAGATTTATTTGCAGGATCTGCTTTCTCTGTTCCATCCCCTTCTACTAGTACTGATGCATCACAACCCTGCAAGAACATAGCTATAATATAGACATAATTACCTTTTAAGCCTTCTTTAGCCCCTAATTTTCTACTTTTAGTAATACAAATTGTGAAATACATGAAAAATTAGGCATTGATTAAGGTGAAAGGAACAGAATATAAATCTCAAATGCAGTCATTTATCAAGAGAATGTTCCAATTAGCATTTAATTATCTAACATCTATTAAATGGCTTTTCTTAGGAAGCTGCCGCCACTTTAAGTATAATATACAGATAGATAGATAGATAGATACAAAAGACGAGACTCACGTTGACAAAGCAGTCATGGAAGAGCAAGCGAAGAAGTTTTCCCGGAACAGTCGGATCAGTAGAAGCAGCTGATCTTACAGCATCCCGAACTACAAACTCGACACCCGGGCACGACAATGCATAGAATTCAAAGGAGAATCCATGAATATAACAAGGAAACAATCCTAAAACAAGGATTAAAACCAAGAATGTTGGTTTTTGAAGGTAATTAGCTTCAACAGGTACATTAATCATTTTGTATACCATTCCCAAGTCAATGTAGCATAAATTATAAACTCTTACTCTCTTTATATATACAATTTTTGTATGTCAGAACTGTATGCAATGTAACATGCAGCTTGTTTTATGTATTTATAGAAGGTGAGAAAGAAAGTTCAAAGAAAGCTTATTTATTGATTTAAAGTTGCATTTATTATCTTTTTGGAGTTGATAGGTAGGAAGCTGAAGAAAGAGGGCTGTAAATTTTTATGGAGACACTGACAATTTAGAGGGCTGATGAATAATACAGAGCTGGCAGAAGGAATTAATGGTGGGTTTTCATACCAATGCTTTTACAGGTTGTGTTAGTAGTGTGTTACTACTGTGATGTCCAACTACCCTAACCAAATTACTGGTATGTATACATGTTTATTATGATAGGTAGAATTTGCATGATTTTTGGGTTACTTGATGTTGAAAGTTCATGGTTTTTGTTTGGTTTAAGTTTTTGCTGCTCTCATCTTCTGGATCTTAGGGTATTATAGTCTTAAATCATCTAATCTTTACTAAAGAGACAGTTATACTAAGGATTTGCTGAAAATTTTTCCGGAATAATTTTGACTCATTGACTTACATTTATTATTTGTAGGATAGTGAGTATAATGATATAACTCCGTTTCTTTGAGCTGTTTTTGTTTGGAATGTTTAATATGAAGAGGGAAACTTTAATCGTAAGTATCCTTTAAAATAAAAATACGTGTGAGATATTCTTAAATTAGTTTCGACGTGTGATTCAAAATATGAACTCTTACTATTATTTTTTGCTTCATATGTGTAATACTTATCTAAATTTATTGATGCTTAGATATGTGCTTTATAATTGAATAAAAGATACTTGTAATTAGAAAATAAAAGGAAAAAATAAGGTAGAGAAACAAAGTGTGATTAATTGGTTACAGTTGACATATTTTGACTCATATAGTATAAGCTATAAATTAAATGCTTGTTGTTACTTTTTTTTTCTTAAATAAATAAATAAATGCTGTTTGTTATTTATTTTACTTGTATTTTTTTTTATACTTTAAATTTAGAATAAAGGCTGCTTGAAATGGTGAGGTGTTGTAGGCTTAAGTGAGTTAACTCAACATTTGTGCTCTGGACTAGTAAATTTAGAATAATTTTTTTTTTGACTAGTAGATATACAAACCAACGGAGTTGTTTTTTATTTTTATTTTTAAGGAACATACCAACAGAGTATGACTATGGGCCGTTACTGTTAACTTAGTGAAGTATAACTTGAGGTTCAGGCTCAATGCGTAATAATTCATTGAGGTTTAGGTTCAAAGCATAATTATTTGTGGTTGATGTAAAAGTTGAAGTTGAGGTTGACTGACTTTGGGGTTCGAAAGAGCTGTGAATTGGCAGCTACCAATTTTGACTAGACTTGATGGAAGTCTTTTATGAGGACTTTAGACATTGATGCTTTGCAATTTGCAGTCGTTTTGTTTCTCCTAGAGACTAAAAATAATTTTCCTAAACTTTGTGCATATCCTCGGTATTGTTTGGTTGCAAACGTAAAATGGGAGATTTGAAAATTAATAGGAATTGATCAGAAGGGTAGTTATTTGGTTAAAAAAATAAAAGAGAGAATTGAGAATTCACGAAAATTTTAACTTTCCACAAAACATGAAAACTAAATTACCAAGGCTTATTTTCTTTCAAAAAAAAATTACCAAGGTTCTTTAAGAAACCAAAATTCATAGAAATTTCAATTTCCCATATTACCAACTGAACACATTTAGGAAATTCTTAAGAATTTATTAAAAAATTAACTTCCGTAAATAATTTTTATAGGAATTTAATTCTCAGATCGAACAATACTCTATTGTTCCAATTATTACTAAATGGTAGGAGTAGTTTGGAAATTGGTACTAGCAAACAGGAAGTCAATGGAGTATAGGGTCTTTGGCCTATTACTTAGTGGGGTCCAGAAAAGCTGTGATGCATTTATAAATCTAGGTGGTCAAGTTGATAGTTGTGATGATTTCTTGATGGAATCTTAAAGCTGCAACTACTGAGTAGTATTTATCTTCTCTCTTTGTTCCTTTATTTCCCAGTTTTATATTTCTGTAATTTGAAATTAAAATGAAAAGAGGTGGTTGTTGGTGTTCTTGTTGAAGCTAAGGAAATGTCAACTGTCGGAGAAGTCGATTCTAAAGGTCACTTGGAATTGTGGGAGGATCCAGAGGCATGGATTAAAGATAACCCTGCTTCTCGTAAATCTATCCAATTTGACTTCTTTAACTCTCTCTCACTGTAAGTCCCTTGTTGAATTGCCGGAAAATATAGGCCAATTGGCGAGCCTTACCCATCTCGGGCTTTATTGTTTCGAGAACATAAAGTTCCTTCCTGATAGCATTGTAAATCTATCCAATTTGACTTCCTTAACTCTCTCTTCCTGTAAGTCCCTTGTTGAATTGCCGGAAAATATAGGCCAATTGGCGAGTCTTACCCATCTCGATCTTACTTTTTGCGAGAACATTAAGTCCCTTCCTACGAGTATTGCTAATCTACCCAAGTTGACTTCTTTATCTCTCTCCTCTGAATTACCTTCTAATTTGGGACACTTTAAAAAATGCCTTTCCCATTTATCTCTTCATCATTGTGATTGGGAAGAATTACTAGCAACTGTATTTCAGTTGGGGAGCCTTACCCATCTCGAGCTTTATTCTTGCGATAACATAAAGTGCCTTCCTAATAGCATTGCAAATCTATCCAATTTGACTTCTTTAAGTCTCTATTCCTGTCATTCCCTTGTTGAATTGCCGGCAAATGTAGGGCAGTTGGTGAGCCTTACCCATTTCGAACTTAGAATTTGCAAGAACATAAAGTCACTTCCTATGAGCATTGCAAATATATCCAAGTTGACATCCTTATATCTCGGAACCTGTGATTTCCTCACTGAGTTACCTTCAAATCTAGGACAAATGAAGAGTCTTTCTCATCTGCAGCTTAATTATTGCAACAATATCAAGTCCCTACCTGATAGCATGAAATATTTATGCTGCTTGGATACTTTATACATCTCCAATTGTTATTCCCTCACACAATTGCCAATCAATCTGAATGCATTGCACCTTAAGCTTATAAATTGTTGCCCCCTCTTCCTTCCTACTGGCCTAATCAACCTAAAGTACTTGAGAGTTACTGTCTGTAACTGCTCTGATGAATCTTTTGCAAATTTGAAGGATCCATACAGCCTACAACACCTCTCCATTTCAGGTTGCTTTAGGCATAACCATCATAATATAATAAAAGTACCGGCCCGTTTGAATCAATTTGTCAACCTTCAGGTTCTCTCTCTTCATGATGGTATAAGGTTTGTTGAATTGCCGGCAAATTTGGATGGGTTGGCCCATTTATGTCTTCTTGATATTCGATTTTCCAGTATCAAGTGTCTTCCTTGGAGCATCACGAAGCTACGCAAACTCCAACATCTAATGTTGCCCGTATATTTCAGACTCGAAACGTTGCCATATGAATTGAATAATTCGGTCATCGTTTCTGTTGACGAAAGGCATGTTCGCAAATCCTGGGAGGTACTTAAAACAGAGATAGGAGAATTGCCTATTCCTTTTGGTGGAGTTAAGGATTACATTGCCAATGCTTTTAATTTTACAGTTTTACTCTAAATTTGTTTGTTTTGGTTGACGTAGTAGTTATACTATGTAATAATCAAGCTTATCTCTTCTCTCCCCTCCTACAATGGCAGAAATAGGAAATGATGCAGCTCAAAATCCCTCTATCATATCTCCTCCTGGTTATCTCCGATTGGAGGAGGATGATCCTTCGCAATGGATTATTAACAACAGAAATTTACTCATGTTGGTTCAATTTTTGGACTTGAAAAATGTTAAGGAGTTAACAGATTCCATAATGCAATTCAGTGAGCTCACACACCTCTATCTCTACTTCACTGATGATATTTACCTCCCGGATAACTACTTTGTCACATTCACAAGGCTTACACATCTCTCTCTCGATTTTTCTCTGGTTGAAATTGATGAGTCCGTTATTCACAGCTTGAGCAAGCTATCCAATTTACGAACACTACATCTGCGTTCGCTTGAAAGTGAATTACCAGAAAATTTTAATATGCCTGTCAGCCTCAAACATCTCTCTTTATCATCTTGCAATATGAGGCCACTTTATGATAGCTTGGAAAAGTTAACTAACTTAAGGAGTCTGGATCTCAATTCCTGTTACTCTTGCGAGTCATTGCCACCATGTATGTATATTCACAAACTCAGGCTTGTGGATTGCTCCTTCAAGTCACTTGACTCACTTCCTATTGGCCTAGATTACTCCGGAGGCAATCCTGGAATTGTTGCCTAGATTTGTCAATGCTGCAGAGAAACATGATGGTTAGTTTGCCTAGATTTGTTAGATGCTTCATGCTTAGTTACTTTCTTAGTTTTCCAACCTTGTTTGTTTAATGATTCAAGTTCTTTTATCTGGTTAGTGCACTCTTGCTTACCTTCACCTAGAAAGTTAATGAAGACAATGGGAAATTTAGGTTGTTGAGTTTTGTGATCCTAGTTATGTTAGAACTTTTGTTTACTTGCCAAACACAGCTTTATGAATTTCAAACTGTTAATAGTACTGTACTTTGTTATTTGTCTTCCTTGTATCATTACCATGCTGTGTCGAAGTTGACAGCTTAAGATTTTTTTTGCAGAATATAATTCGCCCAAGGAAATGCCGGACAATATAAATGTCGTTCATCCATGGCTGAACTATCACTGTAGCAAGCAGTTCCCTCCTAGAGATCTAATAAAGGTTGAGCACTTAAATATATCACTCTGCAAATGCTCAAAAGAATTGCTTGCGAATTTGAAAGAGTCAATGAACCTACTGCACCTTGCCATTAAGGATTGCTCTCAGCATCATGTAAAAAAGTTTCCCACGAATTTTAATGAGTTAGCAAATCTTAATCTTAAGACACTTTCTATTTGGTGTATCCACATCAAGTCCCTTCCTAGCTTCGCAGGACTTTGCAGCCTATTAAAATTATACATTGGAGGAGTCAGCCATTTAGCCCCAAGGCTTGAAAAGTTGCCTGCAAATTTGGATAATTTGGACAAATTATTGGTTGTTGACATTCATGATACCAAAATCAAGTGTCTTCCTTGGAGCATCAAGAATCTTCAGAAGTTGCGATTTCTAAACTTGCCGCTGGGTTTCAGACTCGAAACATTGTCATGTCAATTGATTGAGTCTGTCGTAATTACTGTAGACTGTATGCACGTTCGAAAAACCTGGAAAGAACTCAAAACTGAGATGGGGCTATTATCATTTCGTGGTGTTGGAGGTAAGTGTTTCAAACATTACTTATATCTATGACAATTTTATGTTGTCAATTATTATTCTCTTCTTAAAATCCCTTTCTGCTAATTTACAGTACATAAGTTACTAATATGCCAAAGTATACAAAAGGAAAGGTTAAAGTCTGGATATATATTTATCTTTTTATTTATTTTTTAGCAAATTCTCCTGGATTGCAATTTTTGTATGTTTTGCTTTAGATCCTCTATTTAATTAATTGTGCTGCTGCTTCTCAGTCATCCTCCTAATGAAGTTCATAATTTTTCAACTATACCTTCTTCTGGTTATCTCCCATTGAAGGAGGATCCTGGGCTATGGATTATGAAAAACTATGATTTATGTGTGTCGGTATGTAGCTTGGAGTTAGAATTGCCGGTTTTTTTGCCGAAGATAGGAGATTCCATAGGGGAGCTGCCTAAGCTCACCTACCTCTATATCTCTGGTAATATTAATCTCGACTTGAAGCCCCTCTCTGGCATAAGCAAGACACTTAGACATCTTTCTCTTCAGCATTGTAACATTGAGCTCCTTTCTACTAGCCTCAGAAAGCTATCCAACTTGGAGTTTCTATGCCTAGATTTAGGGGACACAAACTTGCCATCAAATTTGGATCTGTTGGTCAACCTTAAACACCTTTCTCTACGTCATGGCAGTAAACATTCTAATATTAATAGCCTGGCTAGGTTGTCCAACTTGAAAGCTTTGGATCTCTTTCAATGTGATCTCGAATCATTACCTACAAATTTGAAACTTGCTGAGCTTAAGCTTTCTGGTTCCATCATCAAATCACTTCCTACAAGTCTTCATCGCTTGGAAATCTTGCACGACAAAGGAAGATGCGAAAATACAAAATGTGATGTAGCCTCATTAAATTTGAAACAGTTAATCAATATTGAGAAACTTTCGGTTACATGCTACTCCATGAAGTTGCTTCCCAGCATAGAAAGACTGCAAAACCTGGAAGAATTGCAACTTAAAGATTGTTCCAGCCTTGAAGCATTGCCGAATTATCTGGGTAAATTGGTCAAGTTGTGCACTCTGGATATTAGTGGTACAAGAATCAAGTCACTTCCCAATAGCATCACAAAGCTATCCAATTTGGAGCACTTGATCCTTCCAAAATGTTTCCAACAGGACAGCTCTCTTAAGTATCCTAATAAAGGGTTCATTAATGTTACTATTGATGATATAGTTGAACTGTATATCAATCACATGAATTATGATGATGATGGTTATGAAACCTCAATGGAAACCAGCAATGAAGGCAATGGGACCGATCTAGATTCCATAGAGGGACATAATGAAGCAATTTCAAAAGAACTGGAAGAGGGTTCAATTAATGTGCAAACATCACCACACAAAGTACATGTTATTCCAATTCTTGAAGGTACGTACGTGCTATTTAGTCCCCTGATGTAGTTTCATACATCACCATTTTTTATATTGCAATTTCTTTATCTCTAATGAGAAATCCCCTGATCAAGCTGTAAGTGCTTGTGTGATTCTACTCTTCTGGTAACAGCAGAAAGCCTCAATATGAGGTATAGCAGGGTTCTCTTCATTGTGCTAGTAAGCAATTTTATTTCTCCGTGCAAACAGATTTTTGTTCTAGTAGGAGTGAAACTCCAAATCCAGAAGGTGAGAGCATCCCTGCTATACGAAATGATCAAAATGACATTACCACTATGCTAATTGAGCAAGATAATGGTGAGAACAGTCATCATGATTTAGAAAATGGGCAGAAACAGGTCCCTCAACACAATAAGGTGGAGAGAAATAATAGAACTGAAATTTCTGAAGAGAAGCTACAACAATGCTGGTCCGAAAACCCGATGTCACTACAAGAAACTGCAGAAAAAATATTTGGAGGTATCATGATCGCATTTTGTTTGTATTAGAATTGTTAATTTTCTGAGACCTGCATTTACATACTCTTGCCAAAATCTGTTTATTCATTGAAGTTTTAATTTCTATTGATGCCACTGATATGTCAAAAGGAATAATAATGCTGTATTCAATGCAAAACTTCAATTGAGAACTTTTTCCTAGAGCAAAGTTATAAAAACATTGAGTAATGTTGTGTCATGTGCGGAGTAACATAAGCAATTGAGTAAATTTACATCATGGACACTAAGCAATTATTTTATTTATTTATTTATTTTTTTTTTTGTTGACAAAAATGGACACTAAGCAAATTTAGATGTTCATTATGTGAAATTTTGATCCCTGCCTTTTAACAATTTCAAGCAAACTCTTATTAACAATGTGCGAACCTCTAATTATATATGTTTGTTTACTTATTGTCTTCATTGATGTTAATTGTCTCTTTGAACTTTTATAAATAGTGTGGTCACATTTATACTCGTGAAAATATTTGTTTACCTATATTCCCTAATTAATGTTAATGGTCAATAACTAAATTTGTGGTTATGACTTTAAAAGGATGGTTTTTAAAAATTAATTTATCATTAAGACTGAGATAGACATCCTGTCATCCCGATGATTTCCATAAAACAATTAACTGCTTGAGCTTCTTTATCATACTTGACGACAATATGCAGTCTCGAGGTCTACAATGAAGCGAAGATTGAAAGACTTGAAGCTGGTGTGGCCATCAAGCAAAAAAGGAAAGCAACATCTTGATGATGCAAAGAAGAGGAAACATAATAGTAAAGCACCATTTGGCAGTGATTCCACACAGCAGAATTTGGTGATTCCTACTAATTCAACAGCTCAAGCAAAAATTGTTGGGGGGCGTATAATAGGAGCAAACCAGCTTACGTTGCCAAATCATGGGTCATCCAACTCCGATGTTGTTGGCAACTTGGCCCCGGACACAATAGTGGAAAGCGTTAGAGGGAACTTAATGGATACTCAAGGCAATATGGATAGTCAGCATGGCGAAGAGCATTATTTGGATGGTGCAAATGACCAAGGGCATTTGGAGGGTGTTTTGCATTCAACTGAAAGTAATCGCGCTGCAACACTAGAAGAAACTTTCGATCCAATGGTAATTGAAAGCCATATGGATACCCATCAACAAGCTCAAGGGCATTTGGAGGGTGCTCTTCATTCAACTGAAAGTAATCGCGCTGCAACACTAGAAGAAACTTTCGACCCAATGGTAATTGGAAGCCATATGGATATCCAGCAACAAGTCCAAGGGCATCTAGAAGGCGCTCTTCATACAACTGAAAGTTCAGGCACTATTGTTGTAAAAGCCACTTACAAGGAGCATTCAGTGAGAATTGTATTCTCTTTGACTTTACCGATTAATCAACTAATTGAAGAAACAGGCATGAAGTTCCAACTTGCTTTGAACAAATATAGATTGTTTTATCAAGATGAAGATAAAGCGTGGATGATGCTGACTAGTGTGGAAGATTTGAAGTATGCTTCGAATGTTGCTGAATCATTGGGAACCAAGTTTGTTAGATTGTCTGTTATTGACTATGTTGTTTAATACTGTAAAACTATTGCTTATAGTTGACATATTTTGACTCATGTAATTAAATGTTGTTACTCCGTGTTACTTTTTCCCTTCTTAAAAGTAGGAATAGTAATGTGAGGATTAATAAGAGAGAAGTAAAAGGAGGGAAGAAAATAAGATTTCCATTATTTTCTAAAGGAAAATATTTTCCACCGTATGTATTTAGAGAGTGATGAAATGGGAGATATCATAAAAGTATAAATCTTATGAATATAGAGAGATAAAATAAATATTACGAAGTACAAGCTTAGAGAATCAGAGTGTAGAGGAAAATGAGTCTTGTTATTCTCACACAAAGATGTTAATTATGGGTCAGGTCATTTCTGGTTGTTTTGTGTTTTGAGTCTGTAGGGTTAAGATCGGGTTGCGTCACTTTGGGTTTCGGGTCGCTTTGGGTATCGAGTTAATTTGGGTATAAGATCAATTTCGGGTTAACATTTTTGGGTTAATTTCGGGTCATGGATCGGGTTAGGATTGCCGGGTCAATGTCGGGTGAATGGGTAATTATTTAGTGAGGTCCAAGTTTTTTTTATTTTTTTTTTTATTTTTCAAGGTTCAGGTTCAATACACAACTAGTTTTTATTTCATTATTTTTTTTTTAAGAAAATAAGGTTCAGGTTCAATATACTTCGTACAACTTAGTGAACTAGGGTTGATTGTGGGGTCCAGAATAGCTGTGCTGCATTATTAATCTGATAATCTCTATGGGTTGTTCATCAATCCCTATCCACCTCACTTTTTTTTTTTTTTTTTTTTGGGGGGGGGGGGCGGTGGGAAGAAATAGGAGAATAATGTAGGTTCAGGCTCAAAGTTTTTATAAATTGGTAGCTGCTTCTCAATTCTCATATACTAGTACAGTACGTATTCAATATTTCATTCAAATCCTGAAAGTTAGAGTATCCCTGCTATACAAAGTGACTCTTCAACTATGGAAAGTGAACAAGGAAATTATGAGCATGAGCAGAACCAAACCCTTCAAAATGACATCAAGGGTTACAAAAGAAAAGAAATTTCACTAGAGACGCTTCAATCATTTTGGTCCAAAAATATGACATTCCAAGAAGCTGCAGAACAAGTTGGAGGTATGTTACTTTATGATTAAAAATTTTGGTCCTAGAACAAATTTATGTTATGTGCTTTTAATTCCATGAATTTGTTCAGCAAATTGTAGTTAAATAAAAATAGTTTATGTTTTGATTCTTGGTCTTTCTTAAATGACCACAATTTGCAGTCTCGAGGTGTACAATGAAGCGAAGATTGACAGAATTGAAGCTGGTGTGGCCATCAAGCAAAAAAAGGAAGCAACATCTTGATGATGATGCAAAGAAGAGGAAACACGATAGTAAAGCACCATTTGGAAGTGATTCCACAACACATCAGAATTTGGTGAATCCTTCTAATTCAACTGCTCACGCGGATATTGTGGGGAAGGGTATAACTGGATGCGACCGGCATATGTTGCCAAATCATGTATCATCCAACTCCAACGCTGTTGGCAACTTGACCATGGACACAAGAGTGGAAAACGTTAGGGAGAACTTAATGGATAATCAACGTTCTGAAGAGCATTAGAATGGATGATGCTGACTAGTGGAAGATTTGAAGTATGCTTCGAATGTTGCAATCATTAGAAACCAAGTTTGCTAGATTGTCTGTTATTGACTATGTTCTTTAATAATACTAGTGCTTATACTGGCTTAAGTCAGTTAACATTTGTGCTCTGGACTAGCAAAGAGTATGACTATGGGCCGTTTATTTAGGCCCCGGTTGATTGTTTTCAATAAAACATTAGTTTTCATGAACATATAGTTTCTAGGAAAACCACAACTATAAATTAGTTCTCCTGATTAAATAATTTCCTGCTGAAATATTTTTCTTTCGAAAATTCTAAACCTGGGCATCGTGCCGGGCCGGGCCGCCGCGGGCCACGTGCTCCGGCGTGCCGTGCCGATCGTGCCGCCGTGCCCAGGAAGTCGTGTCGTGCCGTGCTGGCCATTCTCACAGGCCAACCCACGGCCTGGCACGGCCCTCATGCCTGGCGGGCTCGTGCCGTGCCGGCCACGTGCCAGCCTGGCGGGCCGGCAGCGGGCTGGCAGTTTCCAACCTTTTTTTTTTTTTAATTTTTTTTTTAAAAAAAGTGACAACATTATAACTTATATTATAATGTATATAAGTTATAAAATTATAATTATAATTATAATTTTTATAAGTTATAAGGTTATAAGTTTTATAATTATAAGTTGAATATTTATGTTTTATAATTTTATATATTCAATATTTATATTTATATATTTACTCTATACTATTACTTTAAAATTTAATGTTTATGATTTATTAAATATAATTTTGTATTAGTAATTGGTATAATTTTATTTTTTTTAATACGAATTTACAAATTATAACAAAACGGGGAAAAAAAGGCAAATTGGGCTTGGATGTGAATAATGCGTACTTCATATTATTATTACTTGAGTTGAGAAAATTGTACAATGATAAAAATCGTACAATGATGGTATTAAACAAAAATTGGAAAATGATAATATTGATAATGATTAAAATCGTACAATACACAAAAATTGTTTATTCTTCTTCTTGCTCGTCTTCGTCGTCGGCTTCGGCTTCGGCTTCATCGGCTAGTAGGATAGATTGGGAACTAGCTGAACCCGAACGGTCGGAAGCGGAGGTTCCTTCATCGTTGTCGTTGTCCTCGTAAGAACGGTCTTGTGAGCGATTTTCCGCATCCAACCAATCTTTAAAACACACGCACATTTCTAGTATTTCGGGTTTTAGACTTGTTATTTTATCGTCCAGAACCCTTCCGGATGCGCTGAAAGCTCATTCGGAGGCAACAGAGGAGACTTGGATACCAAGAATGTCTCGTGCCATTGCCGCCAAAGTTGGATGCTTCGTGCTTTGTTGTTTCCACCATGCAAGGAGGTCGAGGCTGTTAATCTCATCGTCGTCCATGCCTTTGGTGAAGTCATAACTCAGGTACATCTGTAACTCCGAGACGTCGCTTTGCGTTCTCCTGATTGATGAATCACCTGAAAACCTTGAAATTAAGTTAGTAGCCTGTGAAAATAAATGTTTGGCCTTCTTACTTACGTTTTTGGATGGTTGGGAAGGCCCTGAGCGAGGAGCGGTGCCATATTTGCTTTCATAGACTCCATATAAAGCAAAAAACTGATCCTTCACAATACTCTTATACGTTTCTACATCATCGTCAAGATTCAGGCATTGAAAATAAATGTCAACTAACATAAATGTGTTTTCATACTTTTGCCTAGGATCTAATATGGAAGCAAAAATATAAATCAAAGGAATTTCACTATAATATTTACGCCACTTTGTTTCCATTGCTGGAAGATACTGATCATAATCACTTTGGTTGCGATGATCAGCGAAAAGTTGGGCGAGTAAACATGCATTAGAAAGAAAGTTTTGAGCACAAGGACTGTAAACAGAAGAAAAACAATACGTCATGTTATATAATAACTGTAAAAATTGCATATATCTTTCACAGTTATACCAATCATCATCATATAAAGCATTTTGTGGAAATTTTTGGTTGTAAAATATTGTTAACGGGCCCTTGTACTCAATTGTCTTAGTTAACATGTCATAGGTGGAATTCCACCTAGTTGGGCAATCGGTTTTGATTTTTATTGCCCTTATCTTTTGCTGTCTTAGAAAAGTCTTCCATTCTTGGTACCTCATGTTTGAGCTATTAATAGACATAATAGCATCTCTAATTTTGTTGTAGTATGGGCCAATTGCCCGAACTCCATCCTGTACACATAAGTTAAGTACATAGCAAACACATCTAGTATGAAGAGCATCATCGTCTAATATTACATCGGTTAAGTTTTGTTTGACAAGATTAGCTGTGTATGTCATAGAGGTTGCATTGTCAAAAGTCATAGACATCATTTTATCTCGAAGGTTGTATTCGTCTATTGCTTGCATTAAATGGTGAGCAATGTTAATGCCGGTGTGTGGGTATTCCAGCATTTTGAAATGTATTATTCTTTTTTGTAACAACCATTGATCATCTACCCAATGGAAAGTCACACATAAATAGTGATATTTATAACCATTATCCCAAGAATCGGCTGTCAAAGACACTCTACAGTTAAGGTTACTCAATTCGGCTTGTAACCGCAATTTGTACTCTAGGTAGTTTTTCATGGCGGCGGAACGAACGGTTTTCCTAGATATTCTTTTATGTTGGGGTTGTAGTGCTTTGTTAATGTAGGTGTTAAATGGGTCACTTTCCGAGAAAAGAAAAGGTTGTTCGGCGTGTACTATCATTTTCCCTAGTTCATCCCTATCCCTCTCATAGTTGTAGGTGAAGCCGTGTGGATGGTATTGGGAAATTTTTGGTTGGGTTGGATCAATAGCTGGTTTTGCACAAGCTTTCATGTGTCTAGTTAGGTGTCCCGTCCCGGATTTGGATAGTGCCGTGAATACACCATTACATGTTTTACATTTTGCATATGTTTGGTTGGGTTTATTTAGGACGAAATGACGCCATACCTCACTCCTTCGGTTTTTCAAAAGTACCATCTCACTTTCGCTGAACCATTCATGATGTGTGTTTGGGTTAGTAGTAACAGAAGGGGTAGAACCGGAGGGAATTTGGGTACTTTCTTGGCTACTTTGGCTAGAATAATAGTTTTGTTGATCACCAAAATAATTAGGCGGGAATTGACCGAATTGTGGGAATTGTTGTGGATTTTGAAATTGGTTTGATGGTGAAAATTGGTTTGGTGGTGGTGGTGGAAATCCCGACATATAATAGGGTTGAAAACCGGAACTACCATCGTGCCTAAATGGCTCATAGCCCGGGGGGGAGTAACCGGGGTCATTGGTTGGACTCGGAATTTGGGGGCTCGTTGTATTAGGTGGTTCTCTAGAGCTACTACTACGGCCAAGTCGGCCTTTCCCCCCCCCCCCTAGATGATGATGGGTTGTTCGATGCCATAATTAACAATTAGATTTTTAATAAAAACTGATTAACAATAATAATAATTAATAACAACAATTTTAACAATAAAAATAACAATAATAATAACTAATAACAACAATTATAACAATAACAATAACAACAATAAAAAAATAATAACAATAATTGCAACAATAATAATAACTAATAACAACAATTATAACAATTATAATAACAATTAACAACAATAATAATTAAACAAGATTATTCTAATAATAACAATAAAAAAATAATAAATTAATGATTAGTTTAGATCTTACAACCGTGCTTCAATGATCCACTAATTACGATTACGAACTTTTTAATTTTTTTCCGATATTAGGAAAATAATTAGAGAATTTAAGAGAATAATTAGATAATTTTAGAAAAAAGGATTATTAGAGAATATAAGAGATTAAGAGATAAGAAGAAGAGATTGTGATTTTGTGATTTGGAAATGAAATGGAGGTGGGTATTTATAGAATTTTTGGGGAGCTAGATGGCCAAAAACTAGCCGTTTTTTGGCTAATTATGTGCAAAAAACGGTAATATTACCGTTATAAACCAAGGTGGGCACGCGGGCCGTGCTGGGTCGGCACGAATGCCGTGCCTGGTCTTCGTGCCACGTGCCGGGCCGACGTGTCAGCACGGCGGGCCAGCACGCCGGGCCCTGGCCGTGCTCGTGCCGGGCCGGGCCTGCAATTCCAGAACACTGTCCGTGGCACGAATCTCGACTGGCGTGCCGGGTCGGGCTGGGGATCGGGCCGTGCCGGGCTGCGACGAACGGCGGGCCGTGCCGGGCGGCACGCGGGCCATCCCGGCCCGTTCCCAGCTTTAGAAAATTCTATACATAGCCCTAAGGGCTACATATAAGGAGCTAAAAATAGAAAAAACAAATGAAAATGTACATTAATTATACTTGTTTGCGCGTCATTTTGTCATACATTCCTAGATTAAGGGTCTGTTCTGATTTACTGAACTGAGCTGAACTGAACTGAACTGAATTGTTTATGAGAGAAGAAAATTAGGAATTGAACTGATATAACAGTCATCGTGATTCAGAAAACGAGCAGAGTCAGATCCCTCAAAATAATAACGTGAAGGGTAAGAAAGGAAAAGAAATTACTTTAGAGACACTACAACCATTCTGGTCCAAAAACATGACACTGGAAGATGCTGCAAATAAAATTGGAAGTATGTTTGCATTTTGTTTATAATAGACTTTTTAATATCTGAGACCATGCATTTACATACAAATTCCAAATATATACTCTTGCTAAAATTGTGTAGTGTGCACTCATTGATGAATATTAAGTTAGTTGCTGTCAAAACTATTATATCATTTTTAATCAGTAAATCAGGCCACTGATATATCAAAAGGAATAATAATGCTGTAGGCAACGTGGAACTGTAATAATAAAGAGCTTTTTCCTAGAGTAAATCATAAAAACAATAAGTGATGATTTATCATATGCATAGTACAATAATATATATCATGGGCATACATTTAGTAAATTTAGATGTTCAGAATAGAGTTTCGGTTTGATGAAACCTTGCATTGTATCATCTGTTTTTTATATTTGTTAAGTTTGCTGGAAAACTTCAGTAAAATTC